CGTCGCGGCGGGGACAGCGCGCGCCGCAAACATGTCCGTGTCGACCGGGGGGGTTGGAGTGCAGGTGGGGCGGGGCGGGCGTTGGTGGGGCGTGGCGGGGCGTGGTGGGGCGTGGCGGGGCGGGGCGTGGTGGGGCGTGGCGGGGCGGGGCGTGGCGGGGCGTGGCGGGGCCCCGCCCGCTGCCCAGCATACATTAGAAACACTTTGCACACAGCGGCAGTTATCACCACCCTCATGGCCCTCACGGACCCTCGGCCTCGTCTGACCCGCCGGCCGCGGCCCCGCTAGGGCCCCGCTAGGGCCCCGCCAAGGCGAGACCAAGGCGCGACCAAGCGCCGCCGAGGGCGAGACTCGCAAGGACCATTAACTAAAACTGGCTCCAGGAGCGTGGAAAGTCATTTCCCCCCACATGCCCCGAAAATCTGTGCTTCGCCGTGCTCCGGCGGGGCGGCCGGAAATGGTGTCGACCAGGAGCTGGAGTGCTGGCGCTGCTTTGGCTGGCTGTCTCTCTGGCGGGGCGGGGCCGTAGCGGGCGGGAGACCGCGCACTGTCCGCCTTGCCTTTGCACACAGCGGCCGCCCCACAGGCCACGGACGGAGCCTGCAAACCCCCGGTGCCCTGGCTACCAGGTGGGCCCGCCAAGGCGAGGGGGCCCCCAAACCCCCGAAACTCCAAGGTTAACCAAATTGGGCGTGGAGTCCCCTGGTAATCCATGGGGGTACGGCCGGAAATCCGACCAGCAGCTCTGTCCTTCTTCACTCTCTTGTCTCTTTGCACCGCGTGTCGCGCTATTCGGACGATTTAAACCCACATTTTCGAAAATTTCAGCGGTAATCCCGCAAATCCCGAAGCACCGAATCCCTGTGTAGCCTGACAGACCATGGTGGCCCTGGCAGCCAGGATCGCGCACGGCCCTTTGGCCGCGCGCCGCGCCACTGGAGATCCTGGAAAAGCCCTGGAGAGACTGGAAGCCACGGCTAGACCGAGGGATCGCGTCCGGGCGAACAACTCCTGGCGATTTCGAGCTGTGTTTCGCCGCCGTCTCGCTCTCGAATGGGGGATCCGCGTGGGCGTGCGAGAGAGAGAGAGACATGATAAGGCTGAGGAGTGGCGCGAGGCGACGCGTGGCTTTAGAGCAAACGGCCTGGCGCTGGACAGGTAAAGGACGGCGGAAGCACTACTTTCGGTAGTTCCTCTCTCAGCCGCGCCGCCGCGCCGCGCTCGGGGCTCACATCCCTTGGCGTGTCTCTCCCGGAACAGGCTCCCGCTCGGCTCACACTCAGGCCCTCGCGAGGGGGGGGGCGTCCAATATGCCGGGATGCTGCACTGCAGAGCACCTCGTCGGCTCTTAATTCCGCCTTCCGGACTTTCGGAGCGCCACTGGCCGGGCGGCGCCGTCGGCGAAAATGCGTGTCGGCCGCGCCGTGCCCTGCCGTGGCGCAGTGTCGCCCGGCACGCAGGCGGGCCGGGGCAGGGCGGCCGGGGCGGGCACTGTGGGGCAGCCGACACCCACTCCACGCAAGTTTGGACACACAGGCTCGCACTAATGGCACAGGAGAGCTGTTTGCCGCGCTCAAAGGGTCGGCCCGGGGGAGGGGAGGGGGCCCAAGCCCAAGGTGGGCGCCGCTAGGGGCCGGGACCGCCGACCGCCAGGGCGGGGCGGGGAGGGGTGACGGACAGGCTCCTTCCCTGCATCGGGAAGTCCGTGAGGGAGTCCTCGGCAGGACACTGTCGAACGCGTGACTCGACTGATTCCGTCGAGCCGTCTCCCTCGCACCCCCGCGGCCTGCGGATACGCTCCAACGAGTGCGAGAGAGAGGGTCGCAGTGGCCGCAGCCCCGTGCATTAGCCCGGCAAAGCACGGCAAAGCGCAGCAAAGCCCGCCAATGGCGATGGGGCATTACCTGGGCATTACCGGTATTCGCAGCTCGACTAAAACCGAAGTAGTTAACCCTTTCCGCCATTTGCCCGGCCGCTACGCCTACCCCGGCCATTCGCGCGCGCGAGAGAGAGAGAGCGAGCAACGCGGTGCGGGACGAGGACGACGCGACGGCGCCTTGCAGGCAACGTGTTGGCTTGCGGTGGGACGACCACGGCGGCGGCGGTGCTGTGGGCGGGGCTGTGGCGCGTACTTATATGTACGCCCAGGGAGTCGGTTTCCAGAAAAGTTAGTTCGGCAACGTGTTACCATGCCCCCGCGTATGGTAATCGCGATCCGAAAAAGGCGGGAAGACGAGGAAAGCCACAGCTTGTCCGTGTGTGTGTGTGGTGTGTGTGTGTGTGTGTGTGTGTGTGTGTGTGTGTGTGTGGTGTGTGTGTGTGTGTGTCGATGTGATTACGCATGCCGGGCACGAGACGGCGCGCTTTGAACAGCCTGGAACAGACTGGAACAGCCCAATTCCGGGCCGAGTTGTCGTTATGTGTTTGCCAGCCTGGCATCGCGCGGACGGCCGCGGGGAAGTTGTCGGCAGTTGCGGCGAAAAGGGAGGGGATTATCTTGAGCCACGTTCGAGTCCCGAAAATTGGATTACGTCATATTTCTTGGGCAGGTCCCTGCGCGCCCTAGAGTCCCGCGAGTAGCAGTGGGGTGTCGTCGCGAAGAGGGTGGCGTCGGGAGCGGCAGCCAGCCACAGACACTGAAGGCAGCCATCCCCAAGCCCCGGCCTCGGCCCCGGCTGGCTGGCTTGGCTGGGTCTGGCCCCTTTATCCAACTTGTACCACACCTCAAATATGCACCGGAGTCTTGGGGCGCTGCCAGCGCTGCCAGCGACGCCCTTAGCCTACTCCCAGCCTCACTCGGATACCGACTCGCCGACTGCTCACTTCACTTTCCGAGCGCGGCCTGGCGCGGCCTGGCGCAGCGCGGGCTGTTCCCCCGCCCCTTCACCCAGTGCCCCGGGGACCGCCAGTAAACCCCGTGCCTCCGGGACTGCGGAGGAGGCCACGACCCCCCACGGCCTGGCGGGGCCTGGCGGGGCCTGGCCGGGCCCGGTCACGCTGGTTAGTGGCGCGCCCCCTCACCTTACAGTGCCGTAGTACTGCGCCCATAGAAAGGCACATAGCCCTGACGCGACACAGCTTCGCTCTCGGCGCTCTCGGCGCTCTCGGCAGGCCGACAGTAGCGGGGGAGGGAGGGGGGGGAGGTGAGGGGGCTGACACACAGACACAATCACACATACACACACACACTCACACACACACAAACGCCACTCGCACCGCTCGCCATTATTTCCCGTGCATATTTTGGGTAGGAGCGGCGGCAATTCGCGGCGCCGAGGCGTGGCATGCTTTCACACCCGGGCCGCCGAGCCAGTGAGCGCGCGTGTGTGTGAGTGTGTCAGTGTGTGAGTGTGCGAGTCTCGCTCTGGGGACGCCAATGGCTCCATAAGAGGAAAGAGAGCTCCGCTGCTCCGCATCCGGCAAGCGGCTTTCCTGCGCGCCGCTCAGAATGAGTTTGCAGCCACGCCACGCCGTGCCGCCATGTGCGCCGGGCGGTGGATAACTAGAATGGAAATAATGAAGGCAAACATCTCTCCGAGTGCCAAGGAGGGTGCGGCTCGGCACGGCTCGGCTCGCGCCGCGGCCCCGACCGAGAAAGGGGTCTTGTTGGCCTCCTTGACGCCCGACCCGCGGCCCGCCCCGCCCCGCCCCGACCCGACCCGACCCAGCCGCTCGCCGAAATAACGGACTCGTTTCGCCGGAAAATCAGCCAGCAGGCAGCAGCAGCATGCTGTAGCAGTGGAGTCTTTGGCCAGCAAAGAAGCGTGTTTTCGTTTTAGTCGGGGCAGCCTCGGAGCCGAGGGAGGGGGGGGGGGGGGAGTTCGGTGTAGCGTTACGGAGTTACGGTCCGCCCGGCCGCGGCAGCTGCTTGAGCGGGGGCGCGGGGCGAGGCGTGGGGCGGTGCGGGCGCGGCGCGGCGCGGGGCTCGGCACTGGCAGCGCCTCGCCGGCGCGGCGGCGTGCTGTACCAACATTTACACTAAAGCAGCCGAGCGGATGCAAATTCGGCCTTGAGGCGAATCGTCATCGGCTGCATGTCGACCCGGTGCCCCGCCCCGCCCCGCCAGAGCTGCCGGCAGTCACCCACGTGCATATGCGAAATGCAGTCGTCAGTAATGTAATTTTTGACGGCGACTACACGACGGCCGCAACAGGTGGCCGTCGAGTACATTCCCATCAACGACTGTCGGCAGGGTTCGCTGCAGAACTGGCTACCCCCACGAGGAGCGGACGTGGAGGGCTGGCCTTTAGGGCTGGCCTTTAGGGCTGGCCTTTAGGGCTGGCCTTTAGGGCTGGCCTTTAGGGCTGGCCTTTAGGGCTGGCCTTTAGGGCTGGCCTTTAGGGCTGGCCTTTAGGGCTGGCCTTTAGGGCTGGCCTTTAGGGCTGGCCTTTAGGGCTGGCCTTTAGGGCTGGCCTTTAGGGCTGGCCTTTAGGGCTGGCCTTTAGGGCTGGCCTTTAGGGCTGGCCTTTAGGCCTGGCCCTGTCCCGTTTCAGAAGCACCCTCGTCTCACGCGGACCGCAATCTCAGTCATCTCAGTCTGCGCGCGGCTTGTATTATTACATTATTATTTCAGGAGAGAAAAATAAAAGTGTATAAAAGACTATAAAGAAAACACGCAGAGCTGTCGGGCGCGGCACCTGCGGGGGAAAATGGAAAAGCTCAAAAGGAAAAGCGTAGGGGTCGCCGGGGTCTGACCTTGGCGGAGTTGCGAACACGTCGCCGCGCAGAGTACCGCACTACGCAGGAACATTCAGGGGAGGGGGAGGGGGAAAGAGGGGGGGGGGAAAAGGCATTTGGCATTCACGGGGCTTCGCACAGAGACGCCCTTGAATGCCCTGCCAGAACAGGGCCGACTTTTCCGATCAGCTTTCCGAGGGTACATCCGCCCATGCACGGCCTATAACCAACTTTGAAGCGGGATAACAAACCGATGGAAGCGAATTGATTGGACAGGCGATGACGCTGGAGAGAGAGAGGGAATGACGACGGTGCAACCTTACCTGCGTAATCCTTATGGGCGGAGTAATCCATGGGGCGGTGCACTGTCACTGGCGTTGTCTCGCGGACGCATTTTAAAGGAAAAACGAGAGAAAGAGATTTTTAAAAAAATCACATTTTGGATCCTTGGCCGCGCGTGCGGCGGCACTCCGCCATGAACCTGCGGACAGGCAGAAAAGAGAGAAGTCACATTTCCGTCTCGCTCTAGTTGTTGGGGATTTGTTGTTCGGCTTTGTTGTTTGTACGGCGCGGCCGATTGTTTCCCGATTATCGGCGGAGCTGTGAAACGAGGCTGGCTGCGCTGCCGCAAAGACGCGGCGAGGGCGAAACGGAACACGGAGCGCGCCGCGCGATTCAAACTCGCGGAAAACAACGACGGGCCAGCAGGCGCGCTGCGAAAAACGACGCCTCTCTCTCGCTTCCTTGCGGCACGCCCAGAGGGTGCGAGAGAGACGCGGCGAGCGCGCTGCCGGACGGCCGCTGAAGGCCGCTGAATGCCGCGCAAATTACAGTGCTATTGAGGCGCTACGCGGCCACGCGGCGCCACGCTGCATTAGAGGCGCCGATGAAATACATTATGATTAGCGGCGCAAAATGGCGGCGAGGGCCGAATATTAACGCGGCGCTGCGGTCGGTCGAGTGTCTCTCTCGCACTCGCAGGGCGTCCCGAGGGCTGCGAGAGGGACGGCGCGGAGAACCTCTGTTCGGAATCGGCCCAGGAGGCGGTGGTCCTTCGGGAAGGTGCCTGGGGCGTGCCGTGCCCCCGAGGCGCCTCTGGAGAACACCCGGACAGGCCTGGCCGCGTCTGGCCGCGCCTGCCCGGCTGTCTGTGCTAATTCTCCCCACGTCCGGCCCAACAGACTCCTCGGGGGCCTCTCTCTCTCTCTCTCTCTCTCTCTCTCTCTCTCTCCTCTCTCTCTCTCTCTCTCTCTCCCTCTCGCACTGAGCGGGCGCGAGAGAGACAGGGCGAATTGGCCGCCGCGGGGTTAAAGCTCTCTTGGTTCGGAGCCGAAGGAGCCAGGTGCTTGGCGGTGCGATACTTGAAGTGCGAGGAGCGGAGCAGCCCAGATTGGAAGGCGGCGGCCGCTCCATCAAGAAGAAACGACTTTGCACGGCGCGTTCCGCTTCCGCTCCCAGGGCGCAGGGCGCGTAGCGTGGATCGGTCAGACCGACGGCCTTGGCGGCCGGTGTCGGCGCCCGGCACGCGCGGCGGCCGAACCAGCCGGGCTGGGCGGTAAACTCATCGCGTTTTTAACGTTTCTCGGTACTTCCGGGAATTCCCTCAAGGCGGCGGCCCCTCCATCAGAAGGAAACGACTTGCACGGCGCGTTCGCTCCGCTCCCAGGGGCAAGGCGGTGGACCCCGGGACGGCTCAGCCGACGGCCCGCCGCCGGTGTCGGCGCCACGGCACGCCGGCTGCCGACCTCCGCCGCCACGGCCTCCGCGCCCGGCCCTCACGCGTCCACCGGCCTCCGCCGCCACGCCTCCGCCGCCAGGCCTCCCCGCAGGCCTCGCGACGCCGCCGCCACGGCCTCCACGCCGGTCCCGCTCGACGGCCTCCGCCGCCACGGCCTCCGCCGCCACGGCCTCCGCCGCCACGGCCCCGGCCTCGTTCTCGTCGCGGTGCCGACAGGCAGAACAAACAGTGTCAGCGTGGCCGTCCGAACGCGACCCAGGCAGGCAGGCAGGCAGGCAGGCAGGTTGGGCAGGGTGACAGCCTCGCTAAGCCAGTGGGCGAGGAGGAGAGAGCGAGAGAGAGAAGATCCCCGCTAGAAAAATTGATGGAATCGGAATTACGAACTCAAATGTTTGCTCGACATTGGGATTCCGCGCGTTGCCCGGCGGCCCGGCCCGTGGCCTCAGCCACCCCGCCCGCCCCACCCCACCCCTCGCACACCTGCCGGACAGCCAAGCTGCAGAATTATTCATCCCGAAATTAAGAGACGAGAGGCTTAAAAGACGTGCGGCGCCTGCACTCGGGGGAAAGGCTCATTTCGGACAGCGTTTTCGTCGCTCTGCTTCTGTCGCACGCGCGGCTCGCAGCGCGGCCCGCCGGTGCGAGGGAGACAGCGACGAAGCTCTGTCCGGGACCCAGAGGGGCTCAGGCAGTTGGACAAGGCCAAGCCCAAGGCCAGGCCGGGGTTGCCGGGGTTGCCGGGGGTGAGGATGACACCGGCCCTCCATTTACACCGCGGGGCCCCCGTGGGGCCCGCCGCCTCCAGCCGCCCCCGACGCCCCCGCCGCCGGCCCCGCCCCCAACAGGAGGAAATCAAGGGGAGTGCAACAGGGCAAGGAACTCGAAAGAAATTAGCTTGGCGTCTCAAAGAAGCGAGGAAACATTTTCAAAAGAAAACATTTTTGCCAGCAAAATTGGAGGAGGTAGTCGAAACAGGGTTAGTTGTTGTCTAGACTAACGATGGTCCCTTTTTTCGCCTTTACGTCGTCAGCAAAAAGGGCTCCTTGTAAACTGGCCGTGTTTCTCTTGTCGCAGTGCAGACGACAGGACTCAGACAGTACAGTCCTTGAGCTGGGCCTTCGGGCCTTCGGGCCTCTGTCGCCGAGGTCCCAGTGTACAGTCCTCTAACGACTCCAACGTGCGGTGCATGCCAGCGCCGCAGTGCGCTTATGGCAGTGGCTGTACCAGCCCGATATGGACCGCGAGGGGATAAAATGGAAGAAAACTGCATGGAAACGGCCTCGCCAGTATTTGAACCCGTGTCCCTGCGCGTGTCGTTCGCCTGGACGACCGCGCGCGCTCGGCCGGGAAAATGAGATGGGCCGGGTTTCTTGCCCTGCCTTGCCCACCCCGGCCGTCAGCTCGCGTTATAGTGGCCCGGCCAGCCTGGCCCGCACCACCCTGACGGCCTGGCGGCCTGGCGGCCAGGCGGCCCTGCCCCTGGCTTGTGGCCGTGCAAAACGTCCCCTGCGCCTGTTCCGCGGTTATGGAGTGCGAGTGTGAGGGAAAGGGGGAGGGGGAGGGGGTGGGGGGACGCAGGACGGCGCCGACCGCAGGTTTTGCTTTAGCGCGCCGCCTCCTCTGTCACTGACACCCCCAACCCAAGCCAACCCCAACGCCGCGGTGGCGGTAGGCTCGGCGCGCTGGGCGCGCTGCGCACCCCGCGCGGGGCCCGGCCGCCCCGACACAGGCCACTTAACACGGCCGGCGTCAAGGTGACCCGTCGTCCCGCTGGCCTGGATGTGACGTCTTTATCCTCCGGACCGTTCCGCAGTGTGGGCCTGGCAGCCCGAATAAATAAATCCCGCAGAAAGATAAAGCGAAAGCACAAAATAAAAAGCAAATAAAAACATATGGGGAAAGGTTGGCGACGGAAAAGCGTCGCGAGCGGACATTTTGTTTATACGGCTCGGCGGGGCGCACAGGGCGCTCCCCAAGCTGGCGAGGTTTCTTTCCATTTCCCTAACAAACCTGGAACAACAAAATGCCGAGACGTTTGCTATGGAAATTTAGGCCCTGGCGAGGCGGTGAGGGGAATTCTCAAGCAGGGGAGGGGAGGGGGAGGGGGAGGGTGGTTGTTGTTGTTACGATTGGCGCTGCGGTCGAACGACGCGGTGAAAGTCGAAAACACCAAAGTGGCGAACCAAAGCCGAAAGAACACTCCGAGCACTATCCGAAAGTTAGCCGCAGTCGGCTTTCGACACGCTACACTACAAGAAAAATAGAGTGACAGATAGACAGAGAGGGGACATGACAGGTACGCACTTCGGTATCCACACTGCACGGCGCCGCGCTGGCAGACTCGCGGGCCACCGCGTCACTGCACACCTCGCGGACGACCACGCCACGCGCCCCCACGCCGCGGTGCCGCGGTGCCGCGCTCCACGCGTTCCGCCTTCCGAGCCTGGCCGGGCCGCGCGCCGAGCCGAGCCGAGGGAAGCCGGGTCCCTGCTCGCAGCACACTGGCCCAGTGGGGGATGCTGAGCCTGGAGCCAACCCCCTCCAGCGCCACTTCGGCCCGGCGCGGCCCGGCGCCGGGGGAGGGGCGGCACGCCGGGGGCGGCGGGGGCGGTGGGGGCGCGGATAAGAGATGAAGCATGAAGGAGGGCGCGGGGGCGGCGGGGCGGGGGCACTGCACGAAGCCGAGGCCCCTGCACACGGGCGCGGACACACAGGCAGGTTCACACACACACGAGGATGTCACTGCAGGTGCCCCACCTCGTGGCCGAGCCACCTCCGCGGCCGCGGTCACCCCAGTCTGATTGGCCCCGCGCCGGCCTGTCTGGCCCTGCCACGCCCCGCCCCCGCCCCGCCCCGCCCCGCCCCGCCCCGCCCTGATTCTCATTCTGATTCCGATGCGGTGGCCCGGCCGGTCCTGCCGGCCAATCAGCCAGTTTTCGGGCATAAATTGGGCGCTGGCTGAGTGACCGCGAGACCGCGAGACCGCGATGCGGCCGTGCCGCTCGTTCCACTGCGCCGCCGTGGCGTTACCCGGACCGTCCTCCCGTTTCGCTCGCCGGGCAAAAAGCGCCGCCACCGCGCCCCCTCTCGCCCTCTCGGCTTTGTTTTCGTCCTTGTTTTTGTTTTCGACTTTTAATCACCGGTCCGCAAATCAGAGCCCCGCGCGGGGCGCCACGGCGCCGCCACCCCGTTCCGCCGGCTCCTCCGCCCCATTGGTCCTTCATTACGCGCCTTGCCCGGTAATTCGACGAGGGCTGCAGCGAGGCGGGGCGGGGCACTGCCAGGCACGGCACGGCACGGCACTGCAAGGCAGCAGACGACACGATGACGACGCAGCACCGCGCAGCACGCTGCAAAGTTGCCCGCTTGCCTTGCCTTTTTCCGCTCTGCCCTGCCTGCCCTGCCTGGCCCCGCCCAAACGCGCTGCGAAATAAGTTTCCTAATTGCTCTCGCAGTTTTCCAAACTCATTCCCGGCGCTGCCCTCCGAGTGCAGCCGTCTGGAGGGCCATCGCCGCGGCCATCGCGGGGACGCGCTGCGTCTTGGCGCGCGGCGCGGGCTCCACGACGAGGAGGCCACTGTTGCGCCTGGGCACCGCCTGGGGACCGCCTGGGGAGCGCCTGCAAGTCACGGGGTAGGCCAGCCCGCCGCGCTGGGCAGAACTGGGGTTGCCTACCCTCCAGGCGTTCCCGCCAGTGAGGTGGGCCAGCCCGCCGCGCTCGGCAGAACCCCCGTTGCCTACCCTCCGGGCGCTCCGTTCCCAGACGGGTGCTGCTCCACTGGCTTCACTGGCATCCAATTGGTTTGAGGCGGTCCGTCCCTCCCCGCCCGCCTGTCTGCCCTTACCAATCGGCCCTGCCGTACCGTGCCGCACCGTGCCACGGTTCGCCTCGGCAGCCACGTCTCGCATTGCGCGCCGCGCCTCCACTGCCAACCTCCTCTGCTGCAGCGGGAAGGAGCGTCCGTGGCAGCGCGACCCTCCGCCCCCTGGATCCTTAATCTTTATCGCCATCCGCAAACAGGATTACCGCCGCGCGTGCGGCCCTGCCGCGCCCTGCCGCGCCCTGCATCGCGATGCTCTGTCTCTCTCGCACCCTTAAGGCCGGCGCCCTGCGCGTGCGACAGAGACAGAGTCAGCCAACGCTAAAAAAAGGTAGTGCCACGCTGGACTGCCTACCAAATGATACGACTAACTGGAATAAGCCGGAGGCTGTCTTTCTTTTATTCCTGTTTTGGTCGAAAAATGTCCCAGCACTTTGTCTCTTTCGCACCGCCAGGGAACGCGTTCCACGTCGCCGCGGCGCGAGAGAGACAGAGCGGCGGTGCAGACGGTGCAGACGGTGCAGTCAGGCGGAGCACGGGCCGGAAATATTTAGTCGGCATTTGCATATGGAGATGCCGGGCAGGCACGCTGTCCGCGGCCACGGCACCGGGGTCGCCGCCGGCCTCGCCACCCCACCCCATCGCTCCCTCTCTCTCACACCCACACGGGACGCCCCATGAGTGCGAGAGAGACAGAGCAACGGCTCTAGGAGTCAGTCCGCAGGATGCCAGGATGCAGGATGTGGCTGGCCGTGCTGCGCCTGACACCAAAGTGATGGCCCGCGGAAAACAAGACTCGCCTGACTTCATCGCTCTCCGCCAGACTAGTTCCGCGTGCGTGCTGCGTGGCTGGGCGCGGTGCTGGCGCGGTGCTGGCGCTAGTGTGTGCGTGTGAGTGAGTGAGTGAGTGAGTGAGTGAGTGAGTGAGTGAGTGAGTGAGTGAGTGAGTGAGTGAGTGAGTGAGTGAGTGAGTGAGTGAGTGAGTGAGTGAGTGAGTGAGTGAGTGAGTGAGTGAGTGCCGGCTCCTCCAGATGCGGTGGAAGTTGGGGCAGATTGTTCGTCTCACGCAGAGGACGGCAGGGTGATGTGCCGACAGGGATTCAGGCGGACTCACGCCTGGGGACCATCCTGCATGCAGTGGTCTAGTCGCCGTCTGTAGGACAGCGCCTGCGAACGCAGCGTGCCCCTCAACCCTCGAGTTGCACTCAGATTCCGAGCAGTGCACTGTCTCTCTCGCACTCCCACGCAACGCCGCACCGCGCCGCACGAGTGCGAGAGAGACAGAACACTGCTCTGAACCAGCCCCCTGGGCACGTAACATTCGGACGGTCCCTTCCTGGCATTAATATCCCCGGCGGCCCCAGCCAGCCCCAGCCAGGATTACCACCACCCGGACCAACGCGTCAGACGGACCCTACTTTAAATTAAAGCCGCATTTTCGTCTTTCTAGTTTTTTTCCGACTCTTTCTTTTGCTGAACAAGGCGGGGCGCTGGCCGGCCGCGGCACGGCGCCCTCCTTTTCTTTCTTCGTCGCCAAAAAAGAGGGAGAGGGGATCAGGAGGCGTCCAAGTTTGGACGTGTGCGGCTGGAGAAATGAGTGAACAGAACGCGAGGCTGAAGGGCGCGACCATCTGGCGGCCTGCGAGCGCGCGCGCGCGTGTGTGTGTGTGAGTAGGTGTGTGTGCGTGCGCGCCTGTGTGTGAGAGTGACTGCGTGTGGAACCTTGTGTAGGAGGAGAGGGAGGGAGAAGGTTGATTGTGGGTGGATGGGAGCGGCTGAGTTGGTGAATGTGTGTGTTTTTAGCGGTCGGGTGGGATTGCTCGTCGCGCTCCCTGCCCCCTTCCCCTCCCCCGCTACCCTCCTCCAGCCCTGCCGTCCCTTCCGCTGAAACAGGGCGCCACTGTCCAAATCTACCGGGGGACCCATCCATTTCCCCGAGATATTGATGAGACTAGACCAGCTACTCGCACGCACGCACAACACACGCGCCCCCGCACCCGAAACATTGTTCAATGCTCAGCGGAACATATACATGCCGCCAAGTCCAATCATTATTTAGGCGATTCGAGACATAAATCATCGATGCCCGATACGAACCAGTAATTTCCTCATTCATTTCGTTCTCCCGGCGGCGGCCTTTTCCATTATGCACGTCTTTTTTTTCTCACTCCCTCCCCCTCCCTCTTTTTTTTAAACAAAAAAAATTCATCGCCATGTCGGCACACATGTGCGGTGCCACGTGTGCTGGCCGCTGAACCAGTGGGGCGCGACGGTGCGACCAGGGCGGCACCACGCCGTCACCATGCCGTCACCATGGCAACGGCTCCCTCTGCACCACCACCACCGCCACCACGGCATCACACCGCCGCCTCCAAAGCGGCAGGCTTTTATCATCTTGCTGACGATGGAATGCCCCCGGCGAAGCCTGGAAGGAATTGGTGCGTGGCCCGGCGGGGCCTCCTTGCCCTCCCCTGGGTTCCCCTGGGTTCCCCTGCGCCCCGGTGGGTCCCGGTGGGGCCCGGTGGGTCTCTGTGGACGCCGAGAGCAGCTCCCCTCTCTTGGCACTGCGGCTGCCGTTCTGATCAAATATCAAAGCTGAAATATGAAAACCGAAGACCGGCGGAGCGCGGAGCGGTGGGCGGGCTGTTGAAAGGCCGACGCGGTGCTGTGCGGTGCCGTAGCTGCAGCCCGCCGGACCGGAGTTGAGAGGGTGCACGCCCGCCGTGCCCGCCGTGCCCGCCTTGCCCGCCCCGGCGTCCCTGCTGGGCCCCGCTGGGCCCCACCGGCCGCAAAGGGAAATGGCCCAAGTGGGCTTCGAATCACGATGCAGTGTACACGCCCCCGCGATTCCACAATCGTCATTACCCTGCACACGGCGGCATTGCGCGGCGGCGGCTGTGGTTTTGTCAAGTTTCAATATTGAGAGAGACCAGCCTTTGCACAAGGCTCCATTACAACCGAGATCACAACGCGAAACGGCCCGTCATGACGATTGACGTTCGGCTTGTGGACTTGGCTCCTTTTCGGCGACAAAATTACGCCAACTTGACGCCGATTCGAGAACGCCATTGCAAGGGCCGAGAAAGGAGAAAATGATCGCGGAGCGTGACAGCGCATTGGCGTTTGCTTCCGATTTCGCCGAGTGGACCTGTCGAACCAGCGCAGAGCCGCGGTTTGACAGTGTACCGTGCAGGCCCGTGATGCCAGCGAGTAGAGTTCGCAGTGGGGCCGCGCGGCCGCAAGAAGAGCCGGCTTGACGGAGCTCCAATTATCGCCCCGAAACAATGGCGGGAGAGACGGGCGGACGGAAGACAGACAGACAGAACCGATTCGCCGATTGGAAGGCGGGGCGGCAAATTTTCTTTGCCGAAAAAAGGGTCCGGAAAGGGGGCCCGGAAAAGCGGCGGGGTTCTTCAAAGCGTCCGTGCGTTCGCTGCAAACGAATCAATCGCCCGAGTGTGTACAGTGTACACGACAGGAACAAAGCCATTACTGCCGATTCAATTATTCTGCCTGGAACGCGTGAACCGGCCAAGAATTAGAAGCGGGTCTGCGCCGAGCGGCGCCGAGCGGCGAACCAGAGCCGAGGCAGCGCGAGACGCAAGAAAAAAACGCTGAGCGTACGTGGGCTGCCTAGTTATTGTTAAAGTTGGTGGAGCACCAATCCATTACGCCGGTTGGGACAGGTCGCTTTGCCCGAACTTTGTCGCAGTGTCGCGCGGCCGGGGGGAAGTTAGCCGGGAGGGGTAAGTGGCCGGGGTAATGTAAACATGGAGTGGGGGGGGGGACAGGACTGTGTGTACAGGATCATGCCCGGTCGTCCTGGATGGGTCGTACCCCTGGTCGTACCCAAAGCGGTGGTCCGCTCGACCCACTGACCCAGCGAGCTTCATGGATTCGCAGCCACCCACACGGGCTGCATGATGGAGAGACCAACACCGGCCGGCAGCAGTGCCGCGCCAGCCGCGCCAGCAGTGGCGCGACAATCGCCAGGAACATTAGCAGGATTAGGTCCCCCAAAGTGCGGCTCCGAGCCCCGGCCAGCGATCGTAACCCCGAATTTTCAACACGCCGAGCCACCGGCCAAGCGGGCCAAGTTAGCCAACCTCCCCCTCAAACCTGCTCAACCTGGGCCAACGGCCGGGGGGCGGTGCTGCCAACATCTCTTTCCACTCTCCTGGCGAGCGGCCCGCCTAAGTGGCCGACGAGGATGACCCCTGAGCGGCCCGGCCCGGCCCGGCTGGCCACCTTGCCCTGCCGGCTTGCGGTGTGGTCGCGGTGCGGGCCTCTCTCTCTCTCTCTCTCTCTCTCTCTCTCTCTCTCTCTCTCTCTCTCTCTCTCTCTCTCTCTCTCTCTCTCTCTCTCTCTCTCTCTCTCTCGAGGTCACGTGCCGCACTCCGCACTTGCCGCGCTTGCCGCAGACTACCGCGCGACTTGTCTGGAAAAATGGCCAAAGTTTTCAGCAAACTGTGGCGCACTGCTAAACGGAGGCTCTCCGGTGAGGGCCGACCCGCGCTCACCGGAAAAAGGCAAGAACATCCCCCATTTGAAAACAAAGTTTTTTCAAGGCTGCAGTCGAGGTGGGGCGGGGCGACGCAGGGCGGGGAGGGGCGGGGCGGGGCGGGTGGCGCCATGCATTAGTGAGTCGCACCGATCCGTCGGCCAGATTGTAAATCACTCTTTGAAGTCGGCAGCTGGCCGGTTGGGCCCCGCCCTGCCCCGCCCTGGGCCCCGACACCACAACACGCACCAGGGCCCCGAATAATGCAGGCGGCTGCGTCCGAACGGCGGCCTCGTCGCCCTGTCTCTCTCGCACCCGTCGGCGCGTCCCGCAGGGGAGCGAGAGAGACGGAGCGACGGTGTGGAATCACGCTCCAGGTACGAACCGCCGGACAGCCTGCATTCTAAGCGCGCATTTGCCGAGGCAGGGAGCAAGGCCAAGGAAGGCCAAGCAGGGCACGGCCAGGCATGCCAGCACCCGCGCATCCGTCGTGCACAGGGCCGCAGGGCGCCGGCCGGGCGGGGCGGGGCGGCTCGGGGCACGCCGAGGGCACACCGCCCACCGCCAGCCACCACCACGCCCACCACGGCCACCACGGACCGGGAGCAACAGAGGCAGCAGAGACGAAGGACGCTCCAATTGGACCCCTTCTGGACGGGTGGGCTCCCGGTCCCGGTGGCCGCTCCGTGATGACAGGTGGGTAAACTGTGCCCCCCGCCCCCGGGCCATGCAGATAGGCTCGTTAATATGCCTGCTGCATCGCTGGACCCTGGCTGGACCAGGGCTGCACCATGGCTGGACTGTAGCTGGACCGTGGCTGGACTCGGGACCGCCGGCGGGCAGTGGCAGCAGCGCCGCAGTCATCAATGCGACGTCTATCGCACCGCCTCTGGTGTGTCCGAACGCGCGCTTTGTTTTTGTTGTTGTTTTCGGTGCCTCGTTTGGGACGACCGCCCCCCTCCCCTTTCCCATTCCATCCCTGGTGCTCCAGATCGCGACCCCGACCGCCGCAGCGTCGTTAAAATCTCATTTTACGTCGACACTCCCCCCTTTTGCGTTTCTTTCTCCTCATTTTATTTTGAGTGTTTTTCTGTTGTTTTTTTTTTATTTTAGCGCGTGCGGATGGGATGTCCTCGTCGCTAACTACTCCATTCGCCTGGAGGGCGGTACTCACAGGGCCGCTCCAGCGAAGAGTTTTTACAGCGCCCCGCACGGCCGCACGGCTGCACGCGCTGGAGAGCCGCTGGAGAGGCGCTGGAGAGCCGCTGGAGAGCCGCTGGAGAGGCGCTGGAGAGGCGCTGGAGAGCCGCTGGAGAGCCGCTGGAGAGCCGCTGGAGAGGCGCGCCGCGCGATCTGCCGTGCCATTGTTACCGAAACCCCTTCCAGTGCGGTCGCGGCGCGCCACCCTCACTCATTCCGTTTCCGTCGCCCCGAAGGAGCGCCGCAGGGGGTGAGAGAGAGAGAGAGAGAGAGAGAGAGAGAGAGAGAGAGAGAGAGAGAGAGAGAGAGAGAGAGAGAGAGAGAGAGAGGGGCGTTATGAATAAGGCAGGCCTTAATCTCCGTAAGGCGCGGCGTCAATAGCAACAGGGCGTTCTGCGCCGTGGCGCGCTAACAGTGGCGCTGCACAGTGGCAGTGGGCAAAGCGGGCAAAGCGGCAAACCGGGGGGGGGAGCCGTACTCGCCGTGGGATAAGGACGATTAAAAATGCATTCCATTCGGGACCCGCTCATTGAGTGCGCCTCGCCAAGGCCTCCCCCTCCTAATCCAGAGTCTCTTTACCCACAGCGCGCCGCCGGCGACCCGTTGGCCCGTTAGTTATAGTTGGGGTAGCCCGCAAGTCGTAGTTAATGCTCTCGGTGTCAAAGCCAGCCCCCCTTCTCGCTAAAGGACGACTCGACCGTTTTCCTGGTCGCTGGAAGCGCGTTGCGTCATCCTGAAATCGGATCCTCGGTATTATTCCCACCGTTTCTAACTCTCTCGTAACTTGTATTATGTCTTTTCCCTCTCGCAAACCACGCCAAATGCGATTACGCTAAAGAAACGGGGGGAAAAGTTTTTATTGTTTTTCTTATTTTATTACTACATTCCCCTTGCCGCTCCCCTCCCTCCGGAGCGCAGCGCCTGGAGTATCGCCGAGTCCGGAGAGACGCCCCAAGCCACAAGACGCGGGGTATCGACGCCGGTGCGGCACTACCCCACCGGGCTGTGCTTTAGGGAGAGGGCACCAGTCAAGAGAGGATCGGATTCTGTGTTAATAGTTTTATTCGAAGATGAGAGTACAGGACTAGTATCAGTCACAAACAATACAAATTAGGCATGCAGACAATGATGGGGTAAGGGGATCACAAAGGGCTTCAGTGGGGACAAAAATGGTGATGAAAATGATGGTTCATGCACTTCGTGTCGCTGTGTAAAAGACAGCATATCATTTTGGCGCGTCAGTGGGAGAACGACATATTATTTGTCATAAGTACTCGACCATAAGTGGTCTTACAAATTTTAGAAACAACTTTTTTTTTACAAAAACAAGACAAAACGTATTTAACAGTAGTTTTTGGTTTAAGTTATGGTAAGAGACGCAGCTCTAAATATTTTCACGTATTTCTCCCAAAAACGGTCTCTTTGTCTCTCGCGTACACACGCACTCTCTCACACACGCACGCATGAAAACATGTACAAAATGAAAGATTCTATTCTAGTGGCCCTGGCCCTACATTCACTCTCGTGGTCGACACACACTGTTTGTCCGGTGTGCAGCTCTAAGCCTCTAAGTCGGTGCGCGGTCAGTCTTCGACGAAGGCCATGCGGGGTGAGTCCGGGCCCAGCAGGCCTTGCAGGCTGTCTTGCAGGCTGCCCTGGGCCTCCTCCGGTCACCGGACCCTCCCCGACGGCGACCTCAGGTGGCTGCGGATGTAGCCGGTGCGGTAGTCCACCACGGTCCGCTGCTGGCCTCCGGGAAGTCCGTGCCGACTGCGCCGACTCCACCTGCGACCAGCAGCGGCAGAGTGGTCAGTTCAAGCTCTCGTTGATTCCATACACGAAAAACGAAACGAACAAACGAACAAAAAATTAACTGTTATTGGGCTAGAAAGAATTTAGTTGTAGGCAGTCTGGTAAAATTTATCATTTTTGTTAAAGTTGCCTGATGGCTTATAAGTCAAGTGTGTTATGTTATATAGATGGAAAATCAGAGCATGGTATACGGCAAACCTGCCTCCCGCAGGATACAAAAGTCGAAAAATTCATTTTATCAGGCAAGACAGTAAATTGTTCTAGCCCGGCGCTCTTATCGAATCCAGTAGGAAGCTCAGAAGTGACGATGGTAACGCAAAGTATGATCAGAACGAGAGAGAAAAAGAGTAAAAACGCATGCCTAGCTCATAAATTTAACATGCGCTTCATAAGAGTTACTCCTAATCTACAGAGGCGAAAGCAGGCAGAGAGGACCTTTTTACCTCAAAATGCATATAAAATATGAAAAGACTATTTGAGTATAGGTAAAAATGACTGTATACAAGAAATCTACAGACCCAACACATGCTATGAATAGAAACAAAGTTTTTGCTTTTCATTTATTTATCTAAAGAGTTCTCACAGGAGACCGCAGAAGGGTGTGCACAACCAACGTGTTGAGGCACGCACAACCTAAACTGGGTGGAAGGCCCCACAATCGATATCTCTCATCTGAAAAGGTGGTGGAATTAAGAGGAGCCCTCAGAGAAAAGTATTATGAGAAGTGGCCGAAAAAGAAGGAGAAATGACTTGGTTTCGATGCTCCCCGCAGCTCAGACACCGAGAAGGCAGACACACAGGCACGCTTACAGAGACAGAACACACAGGTTGATGCGAAGCGAGAGAAGCCGAGCCAACATCAAGCGGGAAGCCACACAGTGAGTGGAAGCGATGATTTGCTTGTGACTTTTTTGTAAGTTTCTTGTGGAATGCTAATGAGGATGATATTTTTTCTAACTTTGGTGAAATTTGTCATGAGATTGTGCGCAGCGCAGATTGTTTGATGGAGCCCCTCGAGAAGAATGGCGAGGATGCTTGAATGGGCACGAGTACGATCACAACTCGTGGAAAATAATCATTTGCCAAGATTTATTGTTTGTTGGTTTCGAGACAAAAGATTCATTTTCAAAAGTCATGCTTAATCAATTGTGACAAAGAGTTATCTTGAAACGACATTTAGGAACAGATGTCTCAATCCTTACGATCTCTATCAGAATCGTGAATTTTGAAACATCGAGTGTTTCCTTGTCAAACACCAATCTAGTTAATGTCCCGAAAACAATTAGAGGCAAATGAACTTTTTTTGTGCTGGGCGAAGTGGCGAAGCGATAGTGACTGTGCTAGGGGGCTGCCCATGAGTCAAAGACACAAAGGAAAAATAATGTAAGGGGTGGCATCTGAATTTATTTTGAGTTGTTTTCTTTAAGGTAAGGTAGTCGAAAAGATTTGTTTTGATTTTAATTTTCTGATGCGCCTGTTATTTGACACCCCGCAGCCAGTGCTGACGGGCCTTGCACATTCCAAGCGGCGAAAGAATACTTTTCGTGTGCGAAAGAACTGGGGCGGGTTCAAATAGCAGGCGGCGCAACGTTTAGACCATTTAGACTCGACTCGACCGGACAGCCCCCAGTGAGCTTGGCGCGCAGTGGCCTCTCCGCTGACGCCGTGGTCGTCTTGGTGGTGGTACGTACTGCTGTCCGCCAGCGGGCCCAGCCCAGCCTGGCCCAGCCTGGCCCCGTCCAGCTCCCCAGGGCCAGCGGGAGGGCCCGGCTGGCGCGCTGGCGCGAGAGAGCGAGCAGGACAGAGTAGCGGGACGCGAGCGATTTGCTCAGGGCGCTCAGGGCGCTCAGGGCCGGCCGATCGGCGCGATGCTCTTGGAGCGCTCGCGGCCGAACACTCCGAGAGCCTCGGCGCGGCTCGCCGAGCGCTCGGTTCTGCCGTACGCCCCGTACGCCAGCGCGTCGGCCCGGCTCATGGAGCGCTCGCGGCCCCCGTAGGCCCCGAGGCCGGCGAGGGCGTCGGCACGACTCAGCGACCGCTCGGCGCGCCCCAGGCGGGGCTGGTACAGGTCCTCGTGGCCCGGCATGCCCGGCAGGGCGTCGCGCCGGCAGAAGGAAGGGCGGTGGTGTTGGATCCGGTCGGACACACTGGCGCTACCACACGTGCAGTACACACAGAGTAAACAAGGGCAGACTGGCAGAGAGGTTTGGCAAAAACAAAACAAAATCATTGGGAAGTTGGACATGTGAGGCCTCGCTTTCTTAGTGTAGAGGGGAAGTCTCGACGGACTTGCCCCTCGGTACACCATGTAAGTACAAGTCCTCAGCAGAGCCTCGCGAGCCGCCACGGCTTGATTAAGGCTTGGCCGGGGCCAACCCGGTGAGACTCGGCTGAGGACGGCATGTCCAGTGGACGTGGTCCACGGCACAGTTTCTCTGGAAATAAGAAAGACTTACTGACTTACGCCGTGCGTCTAAAGGCCACCTAGAAAAAGACATTACAAAATTCGTGGTCCTCGCAAAGTTCGTCAAAAATATTATACTTTACTCATGCTGGTAGCGTAAGAAGTTGGAATCGCCATGCCAGTAAAGAATAAAGTCGATTAGAGAAAGTCGAGACATGCAAATTACTTTTGGTCATTCATTACCAGGGAACGAGGCAAAAGCAGAGACAGAAAATTTGGGGAAATGTATAAGGGTAGGCGTGTAATATTGTCGCCGTGCCTCTAGTAGGGTATGTTGTAAAAACGCAAAACATGGCGCGGATAATTTTCATGTGTTAACGTGCCTAGAGAATAAAGTGCAAACGTTCTCACTGCACCCTTTATGTTAAGAGATCCCTCGTGTCGTGATTCCAGAAAAGAATAGGCAAAGAAGGGTGATCAACCCAGTGCATGGGATTTACCACTAAAAGTGATTGTGGGCATATTTCACACATAACAAAAGTTGCGGGGTATTTCAAAAGGGAAGGTAGGAACATACACCGTTCCAATTCATAGAAACAAATACCGAAGACCAGGCGACCATCATGCTTCAAAGAAAGAAGAAAAGAAAAACGGGAGAAACGGAGACACCGACTTCACCAAGATTCTCACCACGAAGTTGCATGCAAGGACAGCTAAGCCGCCCGCGGGAAACACGAAACATTCGAACATTGTTGTCTTTACAAAAGATCTTCAAGACTTTTTGTTTTGTTTTGTTTTTATCTTGAAAATGTGTCATTTCCCGCGGACAGATTGACGGTGAAGGGAGTTTTAAACAGGGCCGAATCACACGTAAGAAGAACATACAGCATGCAGAAAGTCATTGCAAATAGATCCAGGCGACTCACCTAGCACTGTGACTCAATAAGATGATATTTCTGAAAAAAGACACACAAGGTTGTAAGACGACGTTTGAAATACGGAAAGCGTCTAATCTACCTAAGTGGCCTTCAGCAGTTTCACTCTATCGAGGCCCTGGGGAACGGCATGGCCAGAGACGCAGCGATACAGCAAGGCGGAGGCGAATTTAGTAAACACTACTGAAGTCTGACCAAAGAGGTGAAAATTTCAATTATTAAAGTACAGGATGCTATTGAATCGCAGTGCACGGCTAGTATTCCAAATTCTAATTATTTTTAAGGGAAATTTCCCTGTACCAAAGCGTCGATAGAAGGACAAAAAAGAGGGGTCTTCTGGGATGGAAGAAAATTGGGCCACAAACATGGGGGGTGAGAAATTCCGTCCTTCCTTGCCTGAATGGACATGGGTTCTAACGTCATCCAAGGACGGCTGAATGACTCCGCAAACATACTCAAGGCTATGCGAAAGCTTTTATAATCCCACCCACGTCAGGGGGCCCATCCTAAAATGTGAAAGAAAAATGGTTGTTTTGTAACGTTATACGCTGTTACTTTAGCAGTGCAGAGTGCCATAATTCTTTCACACAATACTTTCCTGCACACTAGAATTAGAAAGCAAAGAGGTTTTAAAAAGGAAAAAGAATAGAAGAAAATAAAAGTAATTTAAAGGGTTGGTCGGTGGTTTGCGCTCTTTGGCGACATACCTCAAGGTGAATACGAGTAAGGTGAATTACTGTACTGCGAGCTCATCCTGTTAGGAATTTTTTTGTGATTGAAATTCTTCGAATACTACTGTTTACTTATGCAGGGGCGTACTCAGCACCAACTCATATCCAAAACACTGAATGAGATTGGGCGTGCGGAATTATTCTAAGGTTTTTAATTTTATGTTTTCAACAGTTCGATGCAACTCGAATCGGGCTCGAAATGACTGAGACCACGTTTTCACGGTGTGCCCCCACCCCGGCCCGCATGCTCACCTCAGAAGTCTTGTAATGTAGTCCGGCCAGTTGTCCGGCAGCATGACCAGGAAGAAGCCCACGGCGATCAGGATCATCCCGGCCAGCTTCATGCCGGCGAAGTGGGCGCCGTACAGCACCACGTCGAGGGCTGAGAGTCGGAGGGGGTTAGTCGGCGTTGTCGTCTCGGCGACGCTGTGACACGGGGTACTCACCAGCCGACACCGGCACGGAGGTGATGAGGCCCAGCGTGATGAACAGGTCGTAGGTGATGGCCACCCCGAAGTTGCCCAGCAGGTTGGCCACTGCAGTGCAAAAGGAACGTTAGCGGCCACAGAACCACCACCGCTCTAGGATTCTGCCACGCGATCGCTCGCTGGCACGCACGCCGCCGCCCAGGCCCTTACCAAGGGACAGCCCGCTGGAGGCCATCAAGGCCACCCAGGGCAGCTGGTCCCAGTTGAAGGTCTCCGCCCCCGTCAGGTACAAGGCCAGGACCAGCGGCCAGAGGATGGAGGCGTTGAGCAGTCCGATGAGCGAGAAGAACAGCGACACCTGCCCGTAGCTCGCGTCGCCAATCACCTTCCTGAACAGCACCTGCGGCCATGGACAGAATTTGAGTTTCTGGGTTCAACTTCTGGCCTTCGTCCTTTTTTTCGCAGGATTAAACCTGATTCTTTGTGAGAAGCAGGATTCGCGGCGTACCTTGTACACGGCCGAGCCCGCCCCCGCGCAGGCGGCGAGCACCACCCCGCCCAGCGTGGGGCTGCCGGTGATGCCGTCCATGTAGGCGAGCAGCGCGATGCCCGTGTCGCACAGGATGACGGCCACGATCTGCGGCACAGAGGGACAGTCACTCGCTGAACCCCGGTTCGAACACACCCCCGGCCCTTTTTTTCTCCCTCGCGCTGCTCACCCTGACGCCGACGAACTGCTCGTGCAGGATGACCCAGGACAGCAGGTAGACGCAGGACACGTTGGTGGCGTACAGCGCCATCACGTCCGTGGCCAGCAGGATGCGCAGCGAGTGGATGTACATGTAGTTGGTGCCGACCCACAGCAGGCAGAACAGCATGCAGCGCGTGAGGAAGCGCGCTGGAGGGCGACAAGGAGTGAGGAAAGGCAACTTGCGCGCTCCCTGGCGTGTCTTGAGCTTCAGAGTCGCTGAGTGGGACTCGAACCGAACGTGGGACCTCACCAATGGATTCCTCGTTCGGAGAGTAATCCATTGGTGGGGTCACACGCTCGGTTCGAGTCCCATTTGGTGTCTCTGGAGCTCAAAACGCGTCTAGGGTTTTGGCCGCCTCCACCGGTTTCCTGGCCCACTGTGGGCCTCTGGGCGTACGCCGGGCGTACCTGGCGTGAAGCCCTTGTCCCGGAAGCCGCGCACGCACTCGCCGAGGACCTCCCCCCAGGACACGCAGCGCGCCGTCAGCAGCCGGCACACCAGGTACAGCGGGAAAAAGAGGATGGTGAAGTTGGTGATGAACCAGGTGGTGAAGAACGGGGCGTTGTACGAGGCGCGCTGCAACAAATCCCTTCTTCATTGCGATCCTTAAACTCCCTCCCGCTCTGACTAACTAGCTCCCACCCCACAGCTTAAACGACTATTAGAGGTCCTCCCCTGCGACTCAAGGCGGGGGGCACTGCTAATCTGGCCAGAAACTCAACCAAAGAAAGATCCTGGGACCAACCTACCAGCAGGTAGTGGTGGATGGCGGTGGTGCTGGCGTTGCTGTGCGGGTGCCGGTGCACGCCCAGGGGGTGCGCGGTCTGGGGGGACAGCACGTCGTCCAGGCCGGGCCGCGAGGCGGGGAACAGCTGGTCCGTGTAGAAGCCGAAGCCGGCCAGCGGGTGGCGCAGGTACAGCAGCTTGATGCTGTGCGTCGCGCCCACCCATGACGCCGTCATGCAGATGGTGATGCACACGCCGAAGTAGATCTGCAACAGGGGGCTCTTTACAGCAGCAGCAACAACAACAACGACAACCAGGGCGGCGACGACGAGCGCCTGCAAACGGCGAGGTAGGCCAGCCCGCCGCACAGCCGAGCCGCGAACTGCAGGCGGTTGCCTACCCGGTGGCCCGCAGGCGCTCTGCCACGCTCTGCACGGCTGAAGCAGGTTGATCACGCAGTGCGCACGCCGCACGGCGTTTCGTCGCTCTGTCTCTCTCGCACCCAGACGGGATGCCCCGTGAGACCGAGAGAGACAGAGCGACGACGTTTCCTGGCCGTGTCGCTCGGCCGGCTCGTCACCGCCGCCTGCTTGGATCGCTTGAATGCCCAACTTGAGGTAAAGGGCGCTGTTGCGCTAATGGCCTCCCAGCACGACATGTCGCGCACGCGCCGCGCACGCGCCGCGCCACGCAGACTCACCTTCCTGGCCGGCTCCGAGCAGCACGAGTCCTTGCACTTGGTGAGGCGCCGCAGCCGCGGCCGCGGCCGCACCACCACGGGGATGGAGGTCTCCGGGATGGACTCGTGGCCGCTGGCCGCTGCAGCAGAACGACATGGTGAGCTACGCCCTCGTCGGCCAGGCCAGGCAAGGCGGGGGCGTGGCGAGTACGTACCCGAGTCCGAGTGCTGCAGGCGGGACGACTGGCTGAACGGGCCATTGTGGTCGGCGCCGCCCCCGCCGCCGTGGTGGCCCCCGCTGCCCCCCGCCACCGCCCCCGCGCCGCGGCCCTTGGGTGGAAGATGGTGGCGTCGCTCGCCCCCGCCTCGGGCCTCATGCGGGCGGCGTGGCGGCCGAGGGGGCCGAGGGGGGCGAGGGGGCGCCCGCCCTACCGCCCGAGCATGGCCCGCCCCGCAGCGGCGGCACCAGCGGCACCTGAAACAGGAATTAGCGCAAACGGTCTTCGTAAAGCAGCCTGGCATGCAGCTGGAAACAGCGGTCAGTGAAACAAGTCCCGAGCACTGGAGTGAAAGTCGGGGGGTGGGGGCGCGGCGCAGTGGCTATTTCGGGTGGCCCGGCTGAACTGGCCGCGACCGGCCGGCCGCGGTAATCTGAGATAACCTTGTGCACTATTCAGTGCCGACGACGCGGCGACGGCTGCCCGGTGCTTCCACCCCTCCAGCCCCTCCAGTGTGGCGGTGTGGCCCCTGATACCACGGTTCGTTAGTGCACCGGCCTTAATGGGAAAACTTGCGGACCAACTTTGGGATTATTGTCGCAGCCACAGCCCGCAGTTTGTTTTAATTTTTAATCCACGAGCCGAGCTAGTTGGCGGCACGCCGCGCACTAGGGCTGAGAGCCTCATCAGGAGCCTCGGCAGAGAGGGGCGGGAGAATCGTCAGAAACCTGAAAGAGAAGGTTGGGTGCTGGCCTGTGAACCAGGTGAATAAAAATGGGAATCTCCCTGACCCTCAGCGGAAGGTCTCTCTCACACTCACTACTGGCGTTCCGTACGGGTGCGAGAAAGATAGACCGACTGGCGACTGACAGCCAGCTGCTCTCGCCCTCTCCCGCTCCGTCGCCATCGTGGTGGAGTGGACCCTGCAGCCCGCAGCATCAGCAAGACGGCGCTGACGGAGACGCTCGCGACGGTCCCCGCACTGCAGCATTCAGGGCGCTCCGACAGTGCTTCGCTCGGCCATATTTGCTTTGCAATCCAGCGGCAGCGCCCTTCAGAAGACAGCCCTCTCATGGGAGAAAAGGATCAGCCGTAAAAACAAACTGCAAAGCAAAAAGGCTGCGCAAATCATGGACGCCAGCTGCGCGGGAGAACTCGAGCAGCGTCAGGGAAGCCGTTCTTTCTTAGGGCCGTTTGCATGATTTCCTCCCCGACCCGGCCACGGACGATCCGGGACGCGGGGCCTCCAGCAGGGCCTCCAGCAGGGCCTCCAGCAGGGCCTCCAGCAGGGCCTAACAGGGCCTCCAGCAGGGACTCCAGCAGGGCCTCCAACAGGGCCTCCAGCAGGGCCTTCAACAGGGCCTCCAGCAGGGCCTCCAACAGGGCCTCCAACAGGGCCTCCAGCAGGGCCTCCAGCAGGGCCTTCAGCGGGGCGGGCAAGACAGAGGGGCCTAAATACTTGATGCGCCGAGGGCCGCGCGCTCACCCGGCCGGCAATCGCTTTGGCGGGACGACGTTCATCGGGGAGGCCAGGAGCCGCGGCGCCACGCCATGTGCACCACCACCATAAATTCGTTTCCGCGGTGCGGAGCGCGCGCTCCACTCACCGCACCACCCTGCTGTGCCTCGTCGCTCTGTCTCCCTCGCACCGCCACTGGACGCCACGGAGTGCGAGAGAGACCGCACTGTCCGGCATCGCCTGCCGGGCGCGTGCTTTTGTGACGCGATGCGAGGTCGATATTTCGGTTGAATCGGAGGAAGGCCGCGAAGCCGCGGAGGGCACGCCGGCAAGCCCCATCCATCGGCACTGCAACGCGGCAGGGCGGCAAGGCGGCAACGCGCTGCGTGTCAAGTAGGTCAAGACGCCCCCTCCCCCTCCCTGAGACTTCCAGTGCAGCCGCACGTGCCAGGGTCACTCGACGGCCAGGTCAGCGTGCGAGCGCGGCGGCGCGGCGGCGGCACGGCGGCACGCCAACCCCACTTAAGGCAGCTCCACTCTCCAGCGATCCCTCGCCCCGCTCTTGTTGCAAATGTCAGGTTTAATGACCGGGTGGCTCGGTGCTCTCGGCCTGCTCATAGTCCTCTCTAGGCACTGCCGCGGCCGGACAGCGCGACACGGTGCGACGCGACACCCCACCGCACCACCACCGCGGAAAATCAATCCCCGAGTGGATCTGCCCAAAACAAAGGGAATGGCCGCGAGGCGGTGGCAGTGCTTGCGTCGCTCGGTCTCCGCCGCACTCACGGGGCGTTCCGCACTCCGCAGCCGTGCGAGGGAGAGAGAGGCACCGTAGTGCCCAGGGCGGCACTGGCGGCCGGGCCCCCGGCTAATATCGGAAGCGGTCGGACCCGTCCCGTCGGCCGCCGGCCCGTCAAGCGCAAAGTTAATGAGGCGCGGTCGTGGTCGATACCGTGTGTGGTCCGCTGGGCAGCCGAGTCCACCCCCACCGCGCCCCGCCCCGCCCCGCCGCGCCTTGCCACTTGTATTTCCCCCGCCATCGCATTTAAGTCCCTCGCGCCCCGCCCCGCCCCACCCCAAATGTCGCGCAAAGGGCTATTGCCCCCCTGACCCGCGCTGCCCCCCCCCCTCCCCCTTCTCTCTCTGCCGGCCGGATACGTCCTCATCACGGCGCTGTCGGGCCGAATCAAAGACAGGAAAACGGCCGGTGAACCAATCAGCGGGCCCCGCGTTCTGTTTCCTTGTTTCTCATCCCGGCCGAGGTTTTGCTGTTATTGTTCTTGTTGTTGTGACCTTTCTCTACCGCATGCGTGACATTTCTGAGTGCGTGAAACAAAGCGAAGGCTGAGGAAAGGGCTGCTTCGCGAGAAATGTCAACAGGAGGTGAGGAATTCCGTCAAAATGCACCCAGCCTCACAAAGAAGAATCCAGGCTTTTTTGCCGATCTCGGTATGGGGACTAGGCCAAGCCGCATAGCAAGCCACGAAGGTGATGAAATGCAACAGGTTGAGGCAGAGGTTGCGGTTTTCTCCTAAATGCATCCAGACACGGCGTGCATCGGCTTGCATCAATCAGGTCCTTCAGGTGGGGCCTGCCCATTGCGCCTGCCCAGTGGGCCTGCCCGGGCCTGCCGGCTCGAATGCCGCATCCAGCCCAGGCCAGCCCCGGCAGCTCCGCACCAGGAGGGAAAAAGACGACTTGACCCCCTCCAGCGCTGAAAGTGGTCCGCCGACTCAAGGATTCAAAACAGCAAAGCCTCCTCGCGCGACTTGCGCGACATGAGCGCGGCGCACCTCTGTACCCCGCAGCCAACGGACGGAAGCCGCGACGAGGGCTCGCGAGGGCCCCGCCCGTCCGGGACTCCCCCGGGGCGTGAGGAGCGACGCGGCGGGGGCTCGGAAAGGGGGGGGGCGTCCTTACCGTGAGGGCGCAGCGAGGCGCACAAAGGGCTCCGGGAGAGTCCAAGACGCTGCTCTTGGCGGGGTGCGTGCTGTCCGAGCGGAGTGGTGGAAGCCAGGGCTGCGGCGCCGGGCTGGTGGACGAGTGTGGCCCGGGGGCCGCGGCCCGCCCGAAGAACCAAGGCCGAGACTGTGTAAGGTGGAGGGCGCCTGCCAGCCGCTTCACGTACAGCAAGCCACAGCGAGCCACGGCACTGCCCAGGCGGCGGGCGTCCCTCCGGCGGGTTCCGCGCGAGCGAGACCACTGGTTGTGGTGCTGGGGCCGCAGCGCGCAGCGCGCAGCCGGGCGAGGGCTCGGGGGCTCGGGGCTGCGCGAAGGGCCCCACGCCGCCCCCACCGCGAGGGAAGGGGACGGTCGCATTGATCCGCAGCTCGGCAGCGGCAACGCCATGACCCGCTGCTCCGCTGCCGACTCCCCCACCCCCTTTCCTTCCCAACCCACCCCCTAGGTTCGCCACAGCCTTCCTCACGGCAGCGCGGGAACCAACTTCAAATGCATCTGAGAAAAGTTGTGAGAAAAAATAAGTAACTGATATTTTTGTTTCAGAATGGGAGCCCGACTGTTTTGATGTAGGTTTGAGGTTAACTGAATCTTCTTCGGTAAAAGCGAGGAAATTCGGTGTCAGTACACTGCTTTGGATGATCTCCTTCGACGGACGGTTTGAATCTGGCGGGAAACGCAAGGGTGCTGACACCGCCCTCTCGTACACGCGCCGCCGCGGTCGTGCGGAAAAGCGTCTGCAGTGAGCAGAGGGTATCGTCTGCTCTTCCGGCCTCCGCCCTTTGAGCTTTGTATCTCTTGTTGAATATGTGCAGCAAAACACGAGCCGACCCTCCGCTTGCCCCACTTCCTCGCTGATACAGCAGTGTGCAGCTCCGCGACCCGCACTAGTGCACCATGCTGCCATGTTCTCTTCTCCGAAGCGCGCCGCGGTGTCCGCTGGCGTGCATCGGCGTCCTGGCCCAACAGCAGGCCCAGCAGGTTAGGACGCCGTCAGCTGTGGACTTCAGCAACAGTTCATCGGGCGCGTCGACGGCGTCGTATGACGCCTTTGCCCCCGACAACGTCCTGAGCAAGCAGAGCCGCGAGGACTGCGTCCGCCGCCTGTCGCTCATCCCTTGTCCCAGCACCCTGGCGGCCAACCCCAAGGCCAGTGCCCCCGACAACGACACCAGCCCCCCGGCCCAGGCCGCGGCTCAGGCCGCCGCCGCCAAGGCCAAGGAGGCCGCCGTGCTGGTGCCCCTGTGCGTCGTGGACGGCGAGGTGTGCCTGCTCTTCACGCTGCGCTCCCCGCACATGTCCTCCCACCGCAACCAGGTGTCCTTCCCCGGCGGCATGAAGGACGAAGAGGACGACAGCTTCGAGTCGACGGCGTTGAGGGAGACGGAGGAGGAGCTAGGCCTCCCTCGCGGCCAGGTGGAGGTGTGGGGCCGCTGCCCGACCATAGAGTCGATCAACCGTGTCAACGCCGTCCCCGTCGTCGGCAACCTGGGCCACATCAAACTGAACCAACTCAAGTTTAACCAGAAAGAGGTTGGTGACGTGTTCACCATACCCCTTCGTCATCTGTGTGACAGCAGTAATTTCCGATACACTCAGTTCCGCACTGGGAAGGGATACGTGCTGCCAGTGTTCCTTGGAGCGAAGTACAAAGTTTGGGGTCTGACTGCCCGTATAACACACATGTTCCTCAGCACCCTTCTGCCATCAGTTTATAGGAGCAAACTTTACTACATAAAGCCTCTCAAAGTCTAGTCTTCTCCAAAGGGCTCAAATATTATTTAATGATTCTGTCTTCCACTCAACCACAAAGTTGAGCGTGCTGACATTGTAACAGACGATACAATTTCTTTTGTTAAATGAATTTATGTGATTTAGGAAAGTAGGTATGGTCTGATCTCTTTTGTGTTCACTTATAATTTATTTTCTGATCAAGACAAATATTTTATTAAATGTTTCTGCTGTAGACAAAGTGGATCAAAATTAGGTTCAAAGGGAGGAACTAGAAACTGACTTGATAATTCACTTATTGACTTCACTTGAGGTATCAGCTAAGCTATTGATGGACCAATCCATTTTGAATATATTTGTGATATGTGAATAGGGCTTGTAAGTGCTTCACAAATCCATAAAATTTCATCTTGTTTCTGTTTTATTTTAAGTGCCATGCATTGACTTTGTTTAATCTTTGAAGAGGGTTGACCTTCGGAAAAAAAGAAGCATCCATTAAGTTTATCTGGCCTCTTTTTTTCTTTCCCCTGCATTTGGTTTTTGTTTTTTCCTTCTACATTATTCATGTATTTAGGTAGGTTTTCAAAAGGGCAGCTGGCTGCCTTGTCAGTTATTCCGTTGCTTATTCACTAAAGCTCAAGCAGGACTTGGGTTTGAATTTTGTTTTAAGTACAGTAATGCTCAGATTTTTTTTCTTCATACCTTAAAGAAGACTGTATTTCAACAAACTTGTACATTAAACTTTATAATGTATGTTTGTAATGCCAAACAAAGAGTGATTCTTTCATTTTGATCTTCAAATCACATTTCACATAAACAGGTTGAAACATCCAAGTATTCATTCACAACAGGTAACAGAGAATGGTGCTGGAAAATGTGGTCAAAAGATTTCCATTTCTGTATCTTCTAAGGGCCCTAACTGAGGTTGAGTAAGAGATGCAGGAGAGGCATTGTAAATATTAGAAGCCTTATGTTCCTTCAGGTACTCTCCCCCTTTTTCTGCATAATCTTCCTTCGATATTAGTATATCTGTTTTGAAATTTGGCTGGCGGGCAAATTCACAAGCTCCAATCCAAGCTGAAAGTGAAGGATCTCTGGACATTCCAATATGAAACTCAGACTGAAAAGGTCGAATTTCTCTAAGTTCACACTCCAGTCTTTCTTTTAATCCAGGCAAGTGAGCACAGCCACCTGTAAGGAATATATTGGAAACAAGCTTGTTCTGAAAAAGAGAAGATGAAAATGAATCCAAGCAAACATTTACTGAAAGGAGCACACATGCACAGCATACATAAATCACAATATACTTGGTCTTCAGGGGAGTACATCTTCAACACATAGGCAATTGTCTCAGCTAGACCAGCTTCTTCAATTCCAATCATCCCTGGCTGAAAAAGTATTTCAGGGGCCCTCAATTTTTCCACACCAACATGGAGTTGATGTGCTTCTCCTGGATTAGCAGGACTGAAGTCTCCTGATGAAAGAGCAGCAGAGGACCCTTCTACAAAGGTAGGGTCATTTTGCCGAAGAACTTCCTCTATTTCAACAAGTCGTTCCTGTTCTTCCTCACTATCAGAGTCGCCACCATCCTTCAAAGGAAAACAAGTTCAAATTTCAAAAGTGGCTTTTCTTTCCACATACCCTTTCCTATCTTTACATTTGCAAAATACTCACCCTTCTAATAGCCTTGTAGACATCCCAATCCTCATCACGCATTCCAAAATTATCATCTTTTTTATTATCTTTCCTTGCAAGCTCACTTATAATGCGCATTCTCTCCTGTGCAGCAACAGTACGCCTTTTGGCCATATCTTGACGCTTTTGATGACGAGCTGCCCTTTTCTCCAAAAGCTGCACTCTGATAAGATAAAAATATTAATGCATGCTATGTGATAAATGGACTCTCAGGATTTATTTTGGGGAAGTGGCAGACAAAGAACTGACCTATCTTTTCTTAATCTAGCAAGCCATGACTCTGCATCTTCACCATCTCTTAGCCGCAAAGCTGTTTGTTTAGGAATTTTGAGTTTTGGTTCCTAAAATACAGATTTAGTGTCAACTCAATGCTGAAGGCTGACAACAGTAACTTCAAACCAAAAATAATGGAAATGACAATATACTACCTCTGTCACAATCACATCTTCAGAAACATTAGCAGCAGCAATTTTTTGTTTGGTTTTTTGTATTCTTGACTGCAAGTTTCCTATTTGCTTGACCAGCTCAGCTTCACTTCCAATATCCATTGATGAAATTGATTTCTAGCATTTAGAAAATGATTGTCAAAAAAACAAATTACTATATAATTTAAAAAAATGAAACAAACTGGATTGTACCTTAAATTGTTTTTCTTTGCCAGAATTCATCAGATCCTGAACTTCTAACAATTGATTGAGCATTTCTTCATCCTCTGCAAGCTGAAAATATTTTAAAGTATGAATTCAAATTAATCACTCATAGAAAATAAAAAGTCCTCTTAATTTTTGCATAGAAAAGTCTTCTTACTCTTTCATCCCTTTTTCGGGCATTGATTTCCACCAATCTTTTGGCCAGTTCTTTCCTGCGCTCCTTTTGTTGTTCTGCATTTAAAGTGGGTACTGTTGCAACAACAGTGTAGGGCAACTGTATCCTTACAACATTTCTGTCATAATAATCTGGCTCAGCCCACTGTTTCAAAACTGATCTGTACTCAGCAGGGACAAAACTATAATCATGCACCAATTCCTAAAACAGGTCAAGTTTGATTTAGGGGGGAAACACAATTGATTCGATTAATTCCAAATAAATTATTACACACACACCTCTGATCTGCTAAGAGTGATAGCATTAAAATGCACTGGATATTTGAGTTGGAGGAGGCGGTGCATGTACGAGGTGACATGAAAGCCACCTACATTGATTCGGCGTGCGTGAGCAATGTCAACTTGGCCATCAATAATTGGAATAATATGCATTGTTTGATAACCAAGACTAATTACTAGACCAGACTGAGATTTTTTCAGGTTTTCCTCATTTGAACAATGGTAACTAAACAGCGCATCTACTCCATAAGCAACTCCAGGTACGCCATAACATTCAAAGAGGAGTTCTGACATAGCTACAGAAATTACACAAAACAAGTTTTACAAATGTAGAAGTAAAATTTCTATTTAAAAACAACTGCCTTCTTTTAAATGGTCATTAATACACACTACATACCATGTCTGCAATAATTAGGATTCAAAAAAGCTTCTGTGAGCATAATAGGGTGATCCACCCTTCCCTCTGTATCAATCCCCAAATGGGAAAATATGTAGTCAAAAACTTGCTCCTGTACTTCCATATGAATAGGAACATTCCGATCAAATTGAGATTTAAGTTGAAAGCGGACTGCTTCGATATTTGTGATATCGTTGCCGACTTGTAATTCACCATCCTGGAACAGTAGAAAATACAGGAACAATTGAGGAGAGTAAGTAGCCCGTTTATTTACAGGGGTATATCTGAATTCTAAAGCAACACTAAACTATTTCAAAAATTACCTTCTTTCCTCTTTCCTTTCGAGTCTTTGCAACTAAATTTTTGAAGACAAGGCAGGGTCTCTTTTGGTTTCCCCATCCAGCACGACAGTTGTAGGAACCTGACACACAAAAGAAAAGATTGACAATGTCTCAATTTGATAAGGAAATTTCACTAGGAAAATTTAATATTATTGGTTGGTTTTGGTTAACAAAATTTCTTCCATCATAACCAGCTTCTAGTGCTCACCATTATCAATGACAATGGGGACAAGACCCTTTTTTAGGTCTGAAGAATAAGTATGGATAATATCAGGAATGGTTTTGGCATCTTTCAGTGGCAAAACTTCATTTTCAGTCATTTTTCTGTCAAAACACCAACAAACAAACAACCAGCACTACAACCAGAATCCACTGCTAGGATGAAGCGACTATAGCCGGCTGCTGCCAACCAGCCGGCCAAAAGCGCTTATAAATTGAAGAAATACGCCGCTTTTCCAGTTCTCTAAGCATAATATTGTCAATAATATCACAACATAGAACAAAATGGATGTACAAGTTTCACTGGAAAGTTCATTGAGTGTGGATGGGAACGATTCTGAAGTATAGGGACATTCCGAACAACAAGTTTAACAGCCTGTTACCACCTCCTGTCAAAAAAAATGAACACGTAAACGACAAGTTTTTTCGTGGATGTCTGCTGTGTTGTCACATATTTTGGATCAGTTTTAATGTTTTAAACTGTGATTATCTACCAGATTTCTTGTGATAGCGCAAATATGCATTCCGTTTTCGGGCGTGGAAACGCCATGGCGGCGTATGCTTTAAGTGTACTAGCCGGTCTGACATTTTGCTGTTTTTTGTCAACTGTATTCCTCGATTACAGAACACCAGCAACTATAAATACGAGACAAGTTGTAGTGTAAGTTAAAACTTAAAATTCCTTTGAAGTTCTCCAATCTGCGTGGCGAGGATCACATTGTGTTATATTTTATCTAGTAGAGGTTATGGGACCCAGTTAACAGCTTTCGCACACTATATTTAATTAGAGATACTTTGAATCTTCATAGCTTGTGCATTCAAAAGAAATTTTTTATTTTATTTCGGTTCATGTCAAATTTGTGGTTTTGGTTTGTCTCTTTGTTTCTTGTAACACATCCATATGCCTTTGTGGCCTCGTCCATTCTTCTAAATTATAAGCTTCTATCCCTCGTTACAATCCACAGACTTACATGAAGCCTTATACCAGTTGACTGCATCCTCTTTTTTATTTCGCAGGAAAAGCATTCCAGATTATAGTGCCTCACGGGAGAAGAATGACCTCGGTTTCGTCACATTCGACCTCAAGACTGATATCCTTTCTCATGCTTTGTAAATGTTGTACTGCCTCTTGGAAAATGTGTTAGGCCTTTCCTTTGAATCTACAGAAAATTTCCTTAACCTATTTTTACATCTTACTCATCTTTTCAATTGGAATGTGAAGCAGCTATTCCTCTACATTACAGCAGAGTACCAAACCCCTAGTAATGAATTTAACCAGGTATGCATCTCAAGTCAGTTAACACCCTTCAAATTAATTTTAACTTTTAATATTAATTTTTGCTTATCTATGCAGGTTGTGCTGTGGGATAAGATTGTCCTTCGAGGTGAAAATGCTGTGATTGATCTCAAGAATATCCATGCCAAATACTACTTTTGGGATGATGGCAATGGTCTCAGGTAAAATCTTCATACACCTGGTTTGGAATCAACATTCATTATCAACTTTGTTTTAATTTCTGTTCTCTTTTCTGCACAGGGGCCACAAAAATGTCACTTTAACTCTCTCATGGAACATCATTCCAAATGCTGGCCTCCTCCCAAATGTTGGTGCTATTGGTTCTCACTCATTTGCCTTCCCGGCGGAATATACCACTGCTCGAGTTTAGTGAAATTTTAGTGTTAATATTGTGTAAGTGTGTGTGTATAGGAGAGACTATGTGCGCGCTGTGAACTCACGTTTTGTGTGATCCGTCATCTGAAAGAAATCAATCTCTTTTTTTTTGTGTGTGTGTGGGTGCAAACTAGTTTGTTTCAATATGGGATGTATTGCTGTGTGACCTGAAAATTACTGTTTGTTAACAACTTATGTCGATTCTTGCTCACTAGCATCAATTATAAGTATGGTATTCTAATTATGCATTGTCTGTGAAGACAGTGGCTGGATGTTGTTGCCATTCATTTGTTTTGGTTTTCTTTTGAATTTGTCAAGTCTTAAAAGAAAAAAAGGAAAAAAATTATTAACAGGATTGCTTATTTTAATGTTCCTTGAAGCATTTTAAGCAAGATGGTTGTGGTACATATTGATAAAATATGCATTTTGTGAGCAGCAATACTTTGTGCTCCACTCCCTGGTATACAAAACTGAGTGCCTGTTTCTGATGGATCACAGACACAGACTGTATTGGTGTAGGCGCCCTTCTTAGCTGTGGCACATCCTTTCTTCATGTTCGTTCCATCATCTGTTACTCTGGTGCAATAAGCTGTCTGGTTGACAACTTTATTTTAAATGAAGGAAAGGACAGTTTTCATTACATTATCTCTAAAATCTGCACCAACAATATCAAAGGAAGCCCTTTTTTCATGACTTCAAGGTGGGTTTTCTATAATTATTTTTTCTTACCTTCATTTCCAAATCGGAAAGTTACCAGTGTACAAACATTGCCATCCCCTGGGTCACATTCAATATAATGACGATTATTAGAGCTAAATTCATACCATACGTTTGAAGGATCTGGAGTTGTAGCATCTGAATGAAAAAAAAAATTGTTTTCAAAAAGGATAATGGTTTTGTATTGTTGAAGGCCCATGATACCAGTAGCAGACATCAGCACTATACCGTAAGTCATTAAGTAAGGTGTCACACAAGGGATTGGTTTTGGTTTAGGAAATTCCTTGCAAGTTAAATTGCTCAATATATAAGAATCAGTGCCTCTGCCTGGCACCTCCGTACCCTCCAAGGTTTCCACGGAAAGAGAACCCAGCCATGAATATTGCAGGCATCTCCTTGCTTGAATTTCTATCGAGAAAAGAATGTTTAATTTTTAAACAGTTAAAAACTTTGGCTGAAGATCCAGTGGAAGCAGGTAAAACGATGATGAAAAACAATGTTTGAAGCAGCTCTGACATACCCGTTAGCAGTAACAGGATGATTAGTTGAGCACAAAGTAAAACTCCCCTGCTATAAGCGCTATAAACCGTTCCGCCTGCCATGGCGGACGCTACTGATGTAGATAGCGGGCCACCATAGACAAGCTGAGGCGGCCAAACCGTGGCCGCCTCTCTAGACCGATTCTAAGGACGAGACCCACCTTACAGATTGATTGACATTCAAGAGATAGCCCTCGGTGCGATAATCAGCCGGATATTTACATTCACATACATCCTGCTGATAAGCTATCACGCTGAGGCTAGTGCTCTGTGTGACAGGTGTTGCCCCAAGAGAAAGGGTAGAGAGAGAAGTGTCGGTTAGAAAAACCGTGAACTGACTGATCGAAACCGGTTGAAACTACCCAATTGCTGGAAGACTGTCATACCGAACAGACTTTCTTATCCGATACGGTCGTTCTCCGGCCCCGTTTGGAAATGCGCGGGCTTTAGAGCACATACAGCATTGCCAGCATTCCAAAAAAGTAATAAACATAATTCATCGATGTTTAAGTATGAATAGAAGCATCGGCTCTTATAAAGACATTTTTTTTTTAAAGCTTAAAAGAAATTTTTAGGCACAAGACGAATATACTTTCCAATACTTTCAATGCAGAATCGAAGATAAAACCTTATCCGTTTGCCTGTAAGTTGGTACCTCCATCTCTAACGGGTGCCGGGCACCGGCCCGGTTGTAAACAAACAAACAAAAACAAGCAGATCTCTGGAACCAGAAGCAAGGATTTCCCCATTTATTGCTGAAGAACTGAGTTTCATCTTTCCTGAAATGGATGAGGACCTATCAAATGTGCGGTACACTTTCAAAGGTGAATGGAAAGAAGTGGAAAATTGCAAAGTAACAGAATTCCTAATAACCTATTTTGCTGTGGATGGAAGTATAGAATTGTTTGATATTAAGAAACACCGCCTATTCTTGAAAAGAAATAAATGCCATAAAGTGGCTTTGAAAGACCTATTTGTTGGCAATTCAGTGAATATATTCAGTCGCCAAATCATCATAACAGATTATGGCGACAGTACGACACAACAGCGGCTATCAGTGAAGATGCAGAAGACCTTTGGTTTAATTAAGCCAAACCAGATACGTAATCTTGGTGCCATTCTGGAGGCAGTGCAAGAGGGAGGCTTTACAGTTAGTCGCATGCGCATGATAAATCTGACTAGAGATCAAGGGTTAGATGTTTACAGAGAGATGAAAGAAACTGCTCAGCAAAGTGAAATGGTCACTCACCTTTTGTCTGGACCAGTTGTTGTACTTGAACTACTAGGTAACAGTGCTATCCAAAGTTGGTCTGATTTTGTTGGACCAATGGATCCTGATGATGCAAGGTATTAAAACTTAATTACTATAAGACTTTGGCTACTTTAAAAAAGGCTGCATTTATCACCCTGTTTTTTTTTTTTAATTCTGTAGGAAAACATTCCCAGCAAGCTTGATAGCACGTTACGGACAGGATTGTATAAAGAATGGCTTTTATGCTTCCAACAATCCTGAAGAAGTTGAGCATCTGCTCAGTAACTTTTTTCCTGAGAGGGGCAACAATACTCCATATCCAGTCACATCACTGGCTTGTAAACTTAAAAATTCCACTTGCTGTATAGTAAAGCCTCATGCTTTTCAAATGGGTATGTTTCTCCTCAACTGTTTAACTGTGTACGTTGAATAAGACAATCTGAAACCTTGTCTCCCAATCTTTCAGGTTTATTAGGACCAATTATTTCGGCAATTCAGAAAAAGGGTTTTGAGATATCAGGACTGCGGTTGGTTCTTTTAGATCGGTCTGCTGCAGAGGAATTTTTGGAGATATATTGTACTATATTGCCAGAGTACCCTGCTATGGTAACACAGCTTTCTAGTGGATCCTGCGTAGCCATGGAAATATCTGGGAAGGATAATAACGTTCCAACTGTATTTCGGTAAGAGAAGTCACAATGCAGATTTCCTAACATCCATGATTGGTTTTCCTTTCCTCTTGTAAAACAAATTGATTTGATTGCTTTTCTTTTTGCAGAGAGTTTGCTGGACCATCAGATCCTGACCTTGCAAAAAAGTTACGCCCGGACAGTTTGAGAGCGCGCTTTGGTGTGGACAAAATAATGAATGCTGTTCACTGCACAGACTTGCCCGATGATGCTGAGTTAGAGTTGGAATATTTCTTTAGGCTTTTGTAATTCTCTTAGAGTCTCACTCATATAATGTCACTATAAATTGAAAAAAGTACTGTACAAATGCCATGAGTTTTAAAAAAGATATAATACATTGATAATAAAGTTCATCATTCAACATTAATCAAAATAAAATTCACTCTCGAAAAACTTTTTGGAAAATATGAGCCATAAGTTTCAAAAATTCACTATCAGAGCAAGCATATATCACATTCTGTACAGCATGAGATGTCTGTTTTCTTGTTTCTTTGGAAGAGGAAGAGGAGGAGGTTGCCCCACTGTTATCTTCACCAAGCAGAAGACTTCTTACAACAGCCGGTCTAGCTGGCTCAGCCCTCTCATCTATTGTTGGAAGGTATCTTTCTGGAGGATCCCGTGCTGAGTCAAATTGATCTCCAAAAGTGCGACGCATCAATTCAACATACTGGCTCTAAACAGAAGAAATGCAATGCAATGCAATATTATCTAGAGGACAAAATCAAAGGACTGTGACTGAAGCAGTTCAGTTGGAAGTAAAAAGTTCTCACCATTTCAGTAGAAAGTTCCCTACGGAGTAAAGACTGGTCTCTCGGGTCTCTTGCACGAAGCAACAGTAGGCTTTGAGATGCCAACAATGCCAGAGAAGTTTGAAGGCCCAACTGTGCTCTATCAAAATCTAAGGACTTGGTCCAGGCTGTGATTCCTGCTGCCTCCCTTGCTTCCTCAGGTGTTCCAGAACCAGAGCTTGTGAAGCGCACTGGTGATGATGCAGCTCTCAAAGCACGGGTCAGGGGAGATCTTCCGTGACGATTTGCAAGAGTGCCAGTTTTCTGTGTAACATAGTAGGTCTCATTAGAGGAGAAAAAATTTAAAAAATACAACCGATACACCGAACTTAGCTACGCTCTTTCTTGAAACTTGGGAAAACTTACATGAACAGTTGCTGCAAAAGAGAAAACATTGACAGCAGCCAACAGCGTTCCTAGAGTGAGGCAATGTGAGTTCTGTCTCTGCCCTGGCTGAGCTGGAGCTGACCAGTTTAGCCCCACTAGTGGCGTCCAAGCCTCAATGTCAAGTTCACGGTCACACAATAAAGTTGCTACTCCAGGAGAGAGGTTTAAAAGAAATGTGCTACTAAGAACCACAATGTTCATCAATCTGAAAATTGAAAAAATAATTATAGAAAGGGCTTGTTTGTACAGCACTATTATGATTAAATTTAAACTGATTAATCTTTAAAAGCCTTACTTGTTGGATGCAGATGAAACTTTGGGAGTGATTTGAATTGAGTCACTGTTTTCACCATGTAATGCAGATAAGGGCTTGGATCCTTCAGCCATTGACGAAATAAGATTGGGTCGAGTTAGTAACCCAACACTAATATCCAAACACATACTGACGCCACGCTGAAGAAAAAACAATACATTAAAAATATAACTATACAAATTGGGTTTAGAAAATATGTCATTTTAGATTGACATCTATTACCAAGTAAACACACTGTACATCAAGAAAAAGAAACTTACAACCAAGTTACAGAAAGCACGGAATGCTTGAAGTCTCCATTGGTTTGAGTGCTGGACTAAGAGTACCAGAAGATTTAAAGCCTTTTCAGTAAGAGCTAAGGTGCTGGGCTCTAACGTATGCCTTGCCAGTAGAAGGCAGTCTAACAATGCTGATTCTTGAACAGCACAGAAATTTACAGCTGTCTCCAAGGCTTTCACTTCATGGTGCTTCAAGAGAGCACAAACAAACTCAACACCAACACAGAAGACAGAGGACCAGGGAGAGTTAACCCAAGATTCTGGAGACTAAAAATTAAAAAAAAAAAAATGGTTTTTTTTAGAGAATTAGGCTTTAAAGCAATTAAATTTGGCATAATTTTGGCTGGAATGAGATTTACCTGGAAAGGTTGGCTAGATTGCTGAGATATTTCCCGTGGAGTGAGCTGTAGCCACAGTTGGTCTTGGACAAATGTAAGATTCAATAACGCTGCATTACGGTCAGATCCCGCTAACGACAGCAAGAAATAAAATGCACCCTGGGCAAATTGTAAGTTGGTTTGAGAGCACAAAACCTCACTCAATGTTACTGTCACTCGACACACAATTTTGCTTTGACTTAACAGCTCTGTCCATGGTCCTGGAGGCGCCTCAGAAATCGCTTCACATAACACCTGAGGGAATTTAATAGGAAAATTATGAAACAGGCAAAGTGAAAACAAATTAATCCACAGTTCAAATAGGCTTACTTGCAAAAGAGCCACACTTAGTTTGCTTGGTCTCTCATTTTCATTTCCTTTAGAAATACTAATGGCTTGCAGCTCATGTGATACCATAGTGATAGTAGCTTTTACAAGAATTTCCATTGCCACTTCATTTCTACACAGACTGGATTGCAAGAGCTGAACTGAATAAATAGCACTACTCAAAAGAGCTGTTCTTGTTCGTGGGGGTAAACCATGATAATCATAGGAAAATCGCAGCAAGATTGTCTGTAGTTGGGTAACTGCAGTTTCAGAGTCAGCAAAACAGGAGCTGCAAACAAATCTCAACATTATAAATGCTGTAAAAACGTGCTAAAGGGAAAACGATTAATTTTTTTGAATTCTCAATTACCTCTTCCATTTGGCTTGTAAAATAAGCAACAGCTCTGCTAACATTGTAACAGCAGCAGGTCTCAATGACTGCTTGTTAGATGATGGAGCATCTAATGTTGCTTCCTGCTCCAAGGCAGCAAGCACATGACTTGCAAGAGCAGACTGCTGTTTCTCAGATAGAGATAATTCTGGCACATTGCACAATTCACCAAGAGCTACCAATAGAAGGTCTTTCCATGCAGTCATCAAAGCAAGACGTTCTCGTACCTCATCTTCATAGAGTGGCTTAGGAGAGTCTTCAGCAAGGGAAGTAGAACTTGTAGTGTTATGCATTAAGCCACTATCAACACAAAGAGAATGTGTAATGAATTTAGACCAATTCACAAGGTAGGAATTCTTGTCAGAAAACAATTTTTGTAACTGTTCCATCAGTTGCTTGTGAACACCAGTGCCAAAGGTATACATTTCTGATGACAAAATATTCAGAACTTGGGCATATCCTTTAACTTTGTGATTAGGAGACAAAAACAGTGGAGCACACAGTTCAACCCAGAAATCCTTTTTCTCACGGAGATAACTCAATAGAATTTTTTGGTGGTGCATCCACAATGCATGTAAAAGCTCCACAACTGCACCATACAACATTGATCTTGTGCGCTCTGGCTCGTCTTTGGCTTCTGCAAGAAGCTTGCAGGCATAAGTCAGGCAACCACTTGGGTCTTCATTCGGTGACTTATCTTTGCTGAAAAGGCGCTTGCTTTCTTCCGGATGATGAATGTTGAAAAAGGCTTCTGTTGCCCCTGGCTGAGTATGGATGCATGCTGTGATCAATTCAAGAATGGCCACCTTCAGTTGCATTGATTGGTGTGCCGAGTCAAGTTTTGCAACAAATGCCTCTCTAATCACATCTCCGTCCATGGCAAGGCATGCTCTAAGAGTCATTGGAACTTCCAATGCTATTCGCTTCAACACTTTTACAGCTAATATTGGCACATTAGGATTGAAGCAATGGTAGACATAATAGGCTATGTTGGGAACCACTTGAAGAGAATTCTTTGCATTTGGAGATGCATAGATGAGCTGCTCTGTGGGGGACAGATCTTTTCCTAGTTTTACAGAGTCTTTGAGCATTAAGACTCGGATCAAGATGGAAAGAGCAAGACGGACTAGGTCTACTAATTCCACACCTGCACCTTTTAACCAACTAGACTGCTTAAGCATCTGAGCTTTTAGTTCAGCTTCTCCAGTGGCACAGATCCTCAGCAAAGTGTGCCCATTATCAGTGTACAACAAGGCATACAAACAGGTTTGAGCAAGTAATCGCTCAAAGGAGGAAGTGCTACTGGTTTCAGTATTACTGAGAGCAGCAGGGCTTATAAGATGATGGAATAGTTCAAGACAGAGGTGGCTTAGTTGAGTTCTTTCTGATAATGCCGCAAATCCCCAATCATAGCAGCGAGGAAATATCTCAAGTATAACATACACTAAACCAGACAGAGCCACAGACTGCTGTTCTTTCTCATGGCATCCTGTTGCAATCAGTTTGCGCAGAAAGCCCAGATAAGCCTTTATAAGGGGGAATGAACCCATTGGGCGCTCTTCATTGACAACAATTCTTCCAAAGACACCAGCATTAAAAAAATGACCTTGGGCAAAACTGGCATAAGTCATAACTGTCCCTTCATCAGGCTGTGTTGTTGGGAGGAAATCTAAAGCTCTCAGTTTGTTTGTCACATCACTGGGAAACTCAGTGACAAGACTAGCCGCCACTTCCAGACAGGCAGCCATCATGGCTGATTTGGGATTTGACACCAGGAGGAATCTAAAAACCAGAGCAGAAGAAAAACAAAATTGAAGATAGTATATAAGTATATGAAGACTAAGTGACAAAGCGCAAAACTAGTGACTGTTCAACACACTGATTTAATTACCTCTCCATGATTGTAAAAACCATTTCAATTGGTAAAACCATGGCAGGTTCCACAGGTAAAATTTCGCCTGACTCCAAACATGCAGCAATACACTGAACGGAAGTAAGGGCACGAGCCACAATATTGGTATCAACAACCCCACCAGTGCTCTCGCTGATCTAATGATAGGAGAGAAAATAATGGAAGGTGTTACTGATAAAAATCTTGAATGATGATGAAATTAAACAGAAGTACCAAAATTGTTCAAGACAATAACATTATTATATTTACCTGATTTAAGAAGGAAGCCTCTGCACTGTGAACTGCTAACCAAAAGCTGTATGTCACATTCCAACAAACAGAATGAGGGTTCCTGTCCACTAGATTACCCAATGTGCCTTGTTGTAAAACAAGAGACTCAACATGAGGGAGTGGTCTGTGAGGTCTACTCAAAGTAACACTGTTTGACTCAGAATTGTGGTTCAGAAGTTGTATCAAAGCTGGAACTAAAGGTTCCAGCAGGTAAGAGAGTTCAGATACCATTTTAAGAACCTGGAAATAAGAATACAACTATTTAAGCTCGGTCTGAAACACCAATAGATGAACAGTTTGTTATCTATTTTGTTTATTGTACCTCCTCGCAACTCCTTGGGCTGGCAGAAGCCAAAGATGTGACAATCCTAGTAAGTGGCTCAAAGTCAAGTGGAAAACGTCGGAGGGCAACATCCAATACTAGGTGTATTCCAGAATCAGTATCTGATTCCCAAAACAATTCAGCAGTTGATGTTTGTTTCAGCAGAGTTGCACACAGAGATAACAGATGCTCTCGCGGTTGAAGTTTATTCGGTTCAAAATTGGATGTTAAACAGTCAATTAACTTGTAGACAGTTGCATAGGCTATTTCAGAAATTTTTGTGACTTCAGACTGTGAATAGACAATAAAAACAAGAATTAAAACCCTTCAATAAACACTGTTAGCTCCATTCTTTTTAAGATAGACACTCACTTTAAACATGGGCTCATTCAGTAATTGCTCTAAGTACTGAAACACACTAAGTTTGGTGGCAAGAAAACCAAACTTCCTATACTTAGGAAAATCCTCTTCTAATGGTCCAAGAAAATTAAATAGCATCCAGGTCAGTAGCAAGGGAGCATGTTCTTCTTTTTTGTACAATTCTAGCATCTCAGCATCCAGACTAGCATGAAGTTTTAAGCCATCCTCAAGCCAAAGTGTTTTAGCAAACCCTCTGCAACAGTGATGAAAAAGCAGGTTTTAAGATATTGCCCAGAAAGGTAAAAGAAGGTAGAAAAGACATGTTCCACAACAATGTCTGCCAGTACTCACAGATCAGAAACATCAATCATTCTTAAAAGTAATACAGCTTGACTATAAGTGATGCTATGAAGCAAAGGTAGGTGTTGCCTTTTCAGTTTATGTCGATAAGACAGGGGATGCTATAAGTGAGAATAAGAATATAACATCACCAAACATGACATAATTTAAAAGTAGGAGGAAACAAAATTATTACGCAATATGTTAATACATACCTTGCATAACTTTAATGTGTCAATAACATTCTCCCAGTGACATTGGTAGCCATCAACAAATAAAGTCAAATTGTGAATAACAGACAAGTGTTCTTGAAGATATATGGACATCCATTGATCTGATGTTGTACTATAGACACTTGTCTTGCTGTTGCTACCAATGCTAGGTACAGAAGATGGAGCTTTTTGCTCAGTAAGAAGTTTCAGTTGCTTTAAAAGGGATGCAAATATAGCGCTAGGAGTTAGATCCGAAAGTAATTCGGTAAACACTTCCTGGGAGAACAAAACATAGATTAGTAATGAAATCTTGCAACTAAATGAATGAAATATAAATGCCATCTATGTACAAGTTTCTAACTCACTGAAAATGGGTGTTCTTTGTCTTGCCAGTATGCAAGGTATATGCCAACACACTTCAAGAGGAATGCACGCTCACTCCAATAAAACATGCATATGTCTTTAACAAGTTGCTCTTTCCGGACATCACTTTCAAGAAATGACTCCAAATTGTCTTCACTTCCACGAAACTCATGTTCAAGGTAAAAGACCATTAAATCCCATGCTTGTAGAGCATCAAGATCCTGCATAACACAACAAAGATACATGGCGTCGAACAAAGTAATAAATACTACGCACCAAAACAGTAAATACAAGTGACCTTACCATTTGTCGTGCTATGTTGACAACAAACGAAAGCGTTTTGCCATCAAGACATTTAAGTTTTTTCTCTGATTCTTCACTGAACGGGCGATAATGACTCACACCAGCAAGTATTTGGGACTTTGCCTTTTGAAGCTGTTTACGAGCTGCTTCTACACTGGTGCCTAGGAAGGTGCCGCCGGTGACAGCCCATAACTGTTTATTATATCTGAAAAGACACAACCAAAATCATGTTTTGATTTTTTTGACATTTTATTGCACAAACTCGAACATTCCCACAGAGTTGGACAAAATTGATCAAGATTTTGCATGTAAACAGAAAACATAACCCATACACTCAACTTACATTAGCCCCCCTTTCAACTCTGTCACGGAGGAACTCATGTTTTGATTTGGTACCAGCACTCCAAAATTACTCGAAAAAACTAAAACGCAGAGAGAGAATCAAAGAAACTCAGTAACAGGTAAAATAAAGCATGTTTTTGTTGCTGAAACCGCTTCGCCAGGCTGCACACCGCCACTCCCGCGACCAATGCCAGAAGTGTCACCAACCTCCCGAAAAAAAATGATCTCGTTTTTTGGCTACTAGTGTCCTAAAGTATCAGTTTTATAGGCAAAATTTATGTTTGAAGGTCTTTTAGAATCTTTTTTGTGACTAATTATCAAGAAAAAATCACGATAAACTGAAAAATCATTTTCGTTTCATCGTGCTCAGGCTTGCAGACCCCGAACCCAATCTGAATGTGAAAGAAGAGCTACGAAAAGCGAGTGGCGAGCCCGCGGGCAGTCATTCCCGAAAATAGACATTGTCAAAAAGCTGCCAAATTCAAACCGAACGGATAGATTTGCGGAGGCTCAAGGTGACGATATACAATTAGAGTGGATAGGGGGCCACCGCTCAGGTCCTCTCGTGAGCAGACCCGAGCGAGCACCGACGCGCCGACGCCGACGTTCGGAACGTTAACGGGGAATACCGCGCAAGGGAAGACAAGACGACTGCCTACTTTGGCCGCCAGGGAAGCGAAGTTGAGTGAAAAAGATCATTTCAATAATATAAATGAATAAAATTTGCAGAGATAAATAAGCATTTATGTCTGAAATTTGTCAAATTCAATAAACAAAACACGATGCGACTCGAGGTTCTCGAAGTGAGCGATTGAATCGATCTCTCGATCTCGCCGCTCTCGCCTCGCTGCCGGCCTGGGCGCAGCCGCCGCGCCCGATCCACCTCATTCTTGGAATCGTACTGTGTACCTTCTTTTCGCTGTCTGTCGCTCGTGTCGCTTTCTGCGTCTCTCTTGTTCTCGTGCGTCCTGTATCGTGTCGAGCTTTAATTCTCTTATCTGTGTTATTTAACACTTGTTGCTACAAACGTCAGTGAAGCTTGTTGCTTGTGTTGTTATTAAACACTTGTCGTTTTCAAAACTCAGTCAAGCTTGTTGCTTGTGTTGCTATTGTGAAGATGGCCCCTCGTCTACGCCCTCGTCGCGGTAAGTTGTCTTTTTGTGTTCAATTTAATGTTGTTTGTCGTCCCGTGTCTTGCCCCGTCGTGGCTTGTCGGCGCGCCGGCCGACCGGTGATTCGCCCCCAGCGTGCGCAGCGGGCAGGACGTGACCGGTTATTGTTGTGATGCCCCACTTGACCTGACTGCCGTTGACTGCCGTAGCGGCGTTGTAGGGCTGGACGTGTGACTTGGCCGTTGCGGTTCGCGTGCACCTGGGTCGCGCTGTGCGTGGCTGTGCGGCTGGGCGTCGATTCATTTGACAGTTTCGCGTGGCTCCACTGTCAACGGCTCGCGCAGCTTGCGCAGTGGTTCGCCTCGCCGTGTCGCCGCCCGTGCCTCCGCGCCCACTAGCCGTAGCTAGCCGTAGCTAGGCGCGGTTCTGCTTCCCCTGGCTCGCCGCCCTGAAGGGCGCCCTGGCGTCCCTGACGGTGTTTGGGACAGTTTGCTTTCATTCCGAGCGCCGTGTTTCGGCCGCGTCTGTTTTCGGACGCATGCAGGCGTCTCACCGCTTAGTCGCGGTTTGCCTGGCTTGACTCGACGGCTTCAGTCTTTCTGGCCCTCTGGCCGAGTGCATCGCTTCCGACGTTCCTTGCTGGTCCGCTGCCTCCCTGGCCTGCCCTGGCCCGGCAACAGCTCGACGCGACGCCTGCCTCGGCTTGGCTTTGCCAGATTCTCTCTCTCTCTCGCTCGTACATGAGTTCTGAACGGGTCCCTTCCGTCCGTCCTGTCTCATCGTGTGTTCCCGCTCTCCCAGTCACCCCCCGCGTAGCGCGTGCCGCGTGCCGCCGTCATTAGTGCCCCATTTGGCGGCGTTCGGGCCGTAGGCAGCCGTAGGTGCCGGCCGTGCTGGCGAGCGTCCGTCTGTCCGAGGTCAGTCTGTCTGTGGCGCTGTGCGGCCGGCAGGCCGGCGCCTCCCTTCACCTTGTCTTGCCCTAACCCTGCCCTAGACGCACTGCCGTGCCATTCTGAAGATCGCTTTGTCGCTCTGTCTCTCTCGCACCCTTACGGACAGCCCCATGAGTGCGAGAGAGAGTGACGAGACTACTCTTCGCTTCATCGCTGTGCTAGGCCGTGCCGCAATTCGACCTGTCACATCGTGTTGGTCCCGCTCGCCCAGTCACCCTCGCGTAGCACGTGCCGCCGGGCCTCCAGTAGAGACCGCCATCGGGCGGGCGTGGTGGGCGCGCTGCGCTTGCACAGTGGAAAATAGTGGAATGAGGTGGGGTAAGTAGCTCCCAACTCGGACGAGTGTCTCCTTCGCCACCAAAATACGGCTGCCGATCCGAACTGCGCTGTAATTGGCTCGGAACGCCGCGTCGGCCGCATCGGCGTGGCTCTGCGGCCGGTTCGCTAGCAGACGGACTATGCGGCGCGAGACGCGTTCGGATTGGACCTCAGGCCGGCCGGGCATTTTCGCCCAGTGGGCATTGGGACTTTATCCGGGCGGGCCTGGGCAGGCAAAACGTAGCCAGCGAGCCGGACACTCCGGACGGCGTTTACGGTGGCGGTCTCTGGCAGGGCCAAACCCGGGTAACGCCTTGGTCCCAGTGTTTTGGCGGCGTTCGGGCCCTGGCGGCCGTGCCGGGCCGGCGAGCGTCCTTCCGTCTGTCAGTCTGTGGAGCACGTGTCCAACGTGTCGGCAGTGGGGCTGTCTCTCTCGCACTCCCATGGTTTTGTGGGAGGGACAAGGACAGACAGTGTGCTTGCGCGGCCGACGTGAGCCGAGGCAGCAGAGAGTGTGGCCGAACGCATCTGCTGGGCCGCGAGTCTCCCAACAGTCGGTTGGGAGAGAGAGGTCCGACCCGCCCGCTGCTGTGCGACAGAGACGACACGCGCTTCGAACGCAAGCGTAGGCACAGCCGCCCGCTCGCGCTCGCTTGGTTGGGTAAGACGATGCAGTGGACTCGACCCCGTCCCTCCCTCACCTCACTCCAGTAGTGCCAAACGGGACCCGTTTTAGTGGCGAGTCTCGCCGAATGAGTGCGGCGGGACGAGCTGGGTCGCTCGCTACGAGTGAGTCAAGTGAGCTCCCTGATCTTCCGGCAGTGGGCAGGCCGCCTGCGCTGGCTGCGCTCAGCGAGCGGTTCGATTAAAGAGCCTGGCAAACCTGCGCGCCGCTCAGCCCCATCCATCCTTGTCTTTCCACCCTCAGAGTGAGAGAGAAGGCCAATGTGCTCGCTTCGTCCAGTCGACGCTTGGCTGCGCTTGGCTGCGCTTGGCTGCGCTTGGCTGCGCTTGGCTGCGCTTGGCTGCGCTTGGCTGCGCTTGGCTGCGCTTGGCTGCGCTTGGCTGCGCTTGGCTGCGCTTGGCTGCGCTTGGCTGCGCTTGGCTGCGCTTGGCTGCGCTTGGCTGCGCTTGGCTGCGCTTGGCTGCGCTTGGCTGCGCTTGGCTGCGCTTGGCTGCGCTGCCCCGGGCACCGAAATGGTCAGGCGGGCAGACGCTCGAGCCGCGCGGGGCGCTGCGCTTCCGAGGGTTGTGCCGGCACTGGCACGGGGCCTGGCCTGGCCGGCTGGGCTGGCTGGCTAGGCTGGCTCGACCGTCGCTCTGTTTCTCTCGCACCAGTACGGAGTGGCCCATGAGTGCGAGAGAGACCTACCAGTCAGAATCAGTATCTGCTGGCAACTTTTTCCGAAAATCGTTTTTATCGATCCGTGTCTTACGGGGCGTCACCCGTAGGTGTGAGTGTGTGAGTGTGTGAGTGAGAGAGAGACGAAAAGGACTCCCACTGAGTTCACTGAAACATGTTACAATAGATTTTATCGTTCGCAGTTGACCTTGCCGTAAATTGCATTGAAGTGAGGTGGAGGTATCCAAGCGCAAGCGCATGACGCCTTGCCTTTGTTTCTCCTTAACGTTTTCTTTTCTGTTCGCAGGTGCGTTCTCAACTTTGTGTCAAGATGCGTTCACCTTGAACCGCCGGCAGAGAGCGTTCGAACTTCCGGGGACCCGTGTTATAGATCTCAGCGCTACGCACAAGGGTAAGCAACAGTCTTCATGTCTGGCGCCACGCGTGGGCTGTTCCTTGCTTACCTAGACTTTTTGTTGCAGTGATGTACCAGTTGATCGGAACAAGTGAGACTACGCCCGATGGCCAGGAAGGTATTTGGAGCCCGGCCGCTAGTGCCGTGGCCTTCAAAGCAGAACCCAACAAAATAAAGTGTAATTTTTGCGCTTCTCCTCTAAATACTCTTGCGCACTATGCCATCCATGTCAGAAGAGGATGCCAACGCTTCGATCACAACAAGTAAGTGGCCTGTCTGGCCGTGTTGCTTTCCTTGATTTTCCTTTTCTTCCCGTTCTGTCCACTAACAGTGACGTGTCTGTTTCAGCGCTGACCAAGTCTCCATCTTCAACAGAAATGCTAGAACGTTTAAGTCAATGTTTGGAAGCAACTTGGCCACACTACCCATGCCTGGGCAGGCAGAGGCAGAGGGAGGGGGCGCCCTGGGGGCGGCCCTTGAATACGACATGAAACGTGGAGAAGTCGAAGGCGTAAACAACGAGATGTGAGTTTGCCTTCGGGCTTGCCAGGCTTGCCCCATGTTTCTAGCGTCTTAACTGTCCCTTCCGCTTGCAGACGCAGGTTGAACGTCGCTGTCGAGCGCGAGAGCGAACTCCTTCTGCAGGAATTGCGCAAGTCAGTCATCGCTGCGCGATCAGGAAAAGAAAAGTGAGTGTCCGGTCAAGAATGGGCGACTCCCTTGTTGTCGGCGCGGCGGTCGGCCGATTGGACAACCGGCACCGAGAAAGCGTATTTCAACTTCCTTTTCTTCTTTCAGTGTGAGGCAGACTCATTGCCGCAGGCTAACTCAGGGCTGCGCACGGGCCATTAGGAAAATGGAAGACCTGAGTCGCGAGGTCGAGAGGTGAGTTGGACTGATCGTTTGCCAGCTGAATGTGTGAGGTCTTTCTGAACTTTGTGAGCTTATTGCGTTTCTTCCACAGGGCGAACGCACCCCCGCCTCCGCCGCCTCCGCCGCCACCACCTCCAGGAGGTCCACGCGGCCCCGGCCCAGGAGGTCCACGCGGCCCCGGCCCAGGAGGTCCACGCGGCCGTCCACGCGGCCCTCGCGGCCCCGGCACCAGCAGCAGCACCGACACGAGCGGGGCTAGCACGAGCGGGGCGACCACGAGCCGGGCCAGCACGAGCGGGGCGACCACGAGCCGGGCCAGCACGAGCGGGGCGACCACGAGCCGGGCCAGCACGAGCGGGGCGACCACGAGCCGGGCCAGCACGAGCGGGGCGACCACGAGCCGGGCCAGCACGAGCGGGGCGACCACGAGCCGGGCCAGCACGAGCGGGGCGACCACGAGCCGGGCCAGCACGAGCGGGGCGAGCTCAGCCAAGTCCAGGTTGACCAGCCGTCATGGCAATGAGAATCCGGATGAAACGTGTTACTCCGTGATGAGTCTCGACTTCACATGTATGGACCAAAGGTACGTTTTTCGTCAGGAGCTGCCGAGGTGAACTCCCAGTAGTCCGTGGTACTTACCTGTCGCTTTTCTTCTTTCTTTGTTTACAGCAGTGACTCGACCCCAGCCAAGAGGCATCGAGATGATGATGATGATGATGAGGAGGAGGAGGAGGTGGTGGTCCGGCCCCCCTCCCCGCCACCAAAGAGGCGTCGTCGGGACCGGGACGATGACGAGCCTCCGTCACCACCCCGCCGGTCTCAAAGAATCGAGGAGGTGAAGAGGGCGCAGGGCTTCGCGTTTTGAGGTGCGGTTTGGTTAGATTCACTACTTAAGAACTTGGAACTGACTTACTGACTAGTCTTGAATTCCACTTAAATTCTCAGTGTCCCAATTTTTTCCAGTCTCTGTAGGTTGTCTTCTTTATTTTCAGGTTGCTGTTCTGCCTCTCCGCTAACGTGCAGCTGTAGTACACTTGTGCTTATATCAGGGTGTGAAGCTCAAATCAAAAGAGGCTGTATGGCAGCTCGACACATGCCCTTTCTAGAAATTTCTTCTGAGGTTTTGGGCCTCACATTTGCTGTGGTGCATTGGAAGGATTTTGGAAGGTGCATTGAAGGATTTTATGAAGTTGTTGATCCTCGTCTTGTATTAGTTTTGAGAACTTCAGCTACTGGCACAGCTGAAATGGATCTAGCTGACTGGCGGAGAAATACTAAATATAGATCTGGTAAGCAATCTTTTATTTTTTACTTTTGAATCTTGTGATGCATGAGTACTTGGATCTTTGTGCATAAAGTTTTGTTTCAAATTTTCAGATTACATGGTCATCATGTCATGCAGTGGTTTTGGTCTGCAACTGAGCGTTTCAGCAATGAACAAAGACTAAGGCTATTACAGTTTGTGACTGGGGCATCCAGTACCCCATATGAAGAGTTTGCTGCTTTTTGAGGTTCCACTAGCCCAAAATAGTTTTGTATTGAGAAATGGGGAAAGCCCACCAAGGTACATGTCATTTTCACATAGTGTGTTTGGATAACTCCTTAAAACTGGATTGTTACTAATTTCTCTGTTGTTGAAGCAGAATTCTACAAGCCAAGGCATTGCTTTTGTATGGCCTGTTTCTCTGGTTGACAACGTAAGCAGTTTTGCACAGATAAAACAATTTTACTATGTAAGTTCATAGGATGATATTTCTTCACCTTTGCTTGCATTTTTCTCTGTATACTAATGCACTGTTTTCTTTCTTCCAGTTGACGACCTAAGCAGAGTTCATCAATGTTGCGACTGATGATCGAATTCTGATTTTAATCGGGGAAGATATTTTACTTTTTGTTTTTTTTATGCGGAGAGGTTGTTTTACTGAACATTTTTATGTCTTGTTTTTAATTGTTGACGCAATTGGGAGAAAGGATATTTTTGAGAGGAAAACAGACAAAACAATTTTACTTTGTAAGTCTTTGCATATACATTCTTTTTCTTTTGTTCATTTCTGCCTTTCATTTTCTCTGTATACTAATGCACTGTCTTCTTTCTTCCAGTTGACGACCTAAGCAGAGTTGATCAATGTTGCGACTGAAGATCCAATTCTGATTTTAATCTGGGAAGATTTTTAACTTTTTTTTTGATGCGGAGAGGTTGTTTTCCTGAACATTTTTATGTCCTGTTTTTAATTGTTGACGCAATTGGGAGAAAGGATAATTTTGAGAGGGAAACAGTCAAAACAATTTTACTTTGTAAGTCTTGCATATTTTTTTTTCTTTTGTTCACTTTTGCCTTTTAATTTCTCTGTATACTAATGCACTGTTTTCTTTCTTCCAGTTGCCACCTCAGCTGAGTTGATCAATGCTGCAGCTGAGGATCCAATCCCGATTTCAACATGGGTATAACTTTATTGTTTTCGACAAGGTGATCTTCTAAGTTGTTGACTTAGTCGGACGAGAGGAGGATGCTTTTTGAGAGGCAAACACATCAAATTTTTTGATTCTGTAAGTTATTTTGAATTTCATCTGCTTTGTTGCTGAGATTTTCGTTCTTCTCTGTACTCATCCTTACATTTATTATCTTCAGGTGACAAAGGTTCAAATGTTACAAGAAGTTACAGTAATTGATTGATTGGGACAATGAGGCTTCTCATTTGATGAAAATGGCATACATACACACATTATGTGTAATATGTAAGTATGCTGTGCTTTTTGTACATCTTCAAGTTTTGTGCCCCATGCTTTGTTTCTTATTTGTTTATTTTATCCCCAGGTACGAGTATTCACCATATCAGGTGCCATGCTGGTCATCAGAGAACGAACACTTCAATGAGCGCTGCTGAACACCTGGATGGCTTCAGAGTCAAGTGAAGTGAGAGAGAGTGAAGTGAGATGCCGTCATTCAAGACGAGTCCTGGCTGCTTCATTCTAATCTAAGAGAGCTATGGATGCATCACGCTAAATGCTTGTTAAGCTACATGTTTGGCCCATATTTGTTGTTCTATTGTGAGTAAGAATATATCCTTGTATACTGTAAAGGAGATTGTTGGACAAGTGTCCTTGCGAAAAGTGCAGTTTTGTGCTCCAGATGATCAAGCTCAATATTACGCCACTCTTCAGAATGAATAGGATTGTGAGAGTTATGCTCTGTTGTGTTTGGCAAGAGTTGCTTTCAATACTGGCTCTTGTGTAAGATTCACAATGGCTTTCACTGTATCCAATTTTTAGAGCTTTTGCTCTCATATTAATCTTTCAATTTCCTTCAAAAGTAATTTGCTGCCCGAAATTTCCTTTGGATCAATCTTTACTTTGAATACCCCAAATCAATTTTTCTTTGTATATTGTTTAGGTAGGAGCGTAGGTTTGGTTGGGTTACTTGCTGCCTTCTTGTGATGGCCAAAAGTGCAGAATTAGGAATGGTGGGAAGTGTACCATATTCAAACAGAGTCTCAATTTTTGTGAAGGGTTTGTCACGTTTTCCCCTTGATCTGCTGATGTCCAGCAGAACGGCAGGTTAATTTTATGACCTTTTTCCACTTGATGTGAGCACATTTTCATTTAGTTCATTTTCCTTCCCCTCCCATGAAACGCTTCAGAACAGTCCAGTAATACACATGTCTTGTTGCTTGGTGCCAATCTCAACAGTGAACAACAAGTGAACGTAGATGACAGGTCCTCACTCGTCTTAAACTTGATGATAGTATCCGTGTGAAAGGGCGCCATTTCTCATGGATATTTTTGACAAATTTTTTGGAAGAACATTAAGCTGTGATGCATATGAATGAATGAAATGTATATGCTAGCCTGGTTTCAAGTATGTATGCTAACATGTGTGAGAGAAATGGTGGTGGTGGTAGTTGCGCAGCTTGGGGCCCCCTGTGTTGTTTAGATGATCGTAGTTACTGGTATTTTGTGCTTCAACGTTCTTCCAAAAATTTGTTTGAAAATGACGAGTTGGGGCAGGAGTTAGGCAGGCACTGAGAGCACTGCGTCACTCCCTCCTTAGGAATATTCTAGATCCGCACCTGGAGTTATATTGTCCAGATTATGCAATGGCCAATTTTGCGATGATGGAATTTTTGCCCTCATCTTTTGCCTGCAGAGTATGCGTGATGGATGGCACAGAATTGGTGTCTCCCTCAAGCCTGTATTGGTCAAGAGTCATAGAATCTCTTTACATGTGGCATATAAATGTGATACATTCACCGCATTTGTGGCTTAGAACATATGTTTTAAGAGAACATTTTAAAGCCGATGTTTCCTGATGGCTGCGCTGTTGAGTAGAGCTGGCACGCAACTTTTGAGTTCATGATTCACTGCTTCCAAGATGCGCATTATGACTATACTGTTCATCAATATTGATCATGTTCTACCTGTCCTATGTCTCACTCACACGTTACAGAAAGTGACTGTCCCGTAGAACCACAAGATTCATTCACATTCACCCTCTTCTGCCTCTTTGCATCCCTTTTGATAAGGGAGTACAATAGCCAATTTCCTGATGTTTGACCTGCCAATGGGATGATAAGAACAAGCCGACACATGAATTTATTAATTTTGACTCTGTTTGTTTGGTGCACTCCTCACTTTTTCTGTTTTTGCGCTTTGTTGTGATATGTACTGGTGTCTTCCACCTCATCAGATGTAATGCTTGTAATGTTTTTACTTTCACTTGGCTTGAAAGAGCTGAATTTGGCTGAGTCACAGCGGGGGTAAATGCTCAGTTTTCTGATAGTTCAATTTGTATAAGAATTTCAATAGTAAATTCTGATCCAGGGGATGTTAATGGGCAGCATTCAGAAATTAAGTAATCCTTTAAAAGCTAATTAAATGAGCCTTTGTTGAAGCCTCTCTTGCATTCACTTCAGATAGTGTTTACCCCATGGTTCTTGTACTGAAGTTCCATCTTATTTTGTAGTGTTTTTTACCTGGGACAGGCGAACAGGTTTTTATGAGTCATAAAAAGTTAGTTCTTTGTGGATTGCGATGCTGTATTGCTCTTTGAGTGAAACTTTTTAACTCGTTTTGGTATTTTTATGATTGTATTTAGTAAATTGCTAAGCTCGAGGAGAAATGGATATGATACGATTATTGTACTTCAGAATAAGAGTAGTTCTTGGTTTGGCCTTTGTTTGAATTTGCTAACTGAACTAAGATATAGATGGTTTGAAGTTTTCCTGAAACTCTGAAAGTTGCGTGATCAGGAGTATTCTTCAATTCAGGAATATGTTTGTAACAAAAGAAAGGTGGAAAGTGTTATAATTTGTTTCTTATTATTTTACTATTTGTTTATCCGTCATCTGTTACATATTGTTGGTTTACTTTGGATCCCGTTGGTGAATCTTTTGTACTATTATATCAGTGACTCAAAGACGGTTATTTCCTGTATTTTGTCAATGAATTCTGTAACCTCTCTTATTATTGGGGAATTTTGAGCCAGCCCTTATTATAGGGATATACAGTGGTATGTAAGTTATGAGTTCAATGTTTATCTGTGAAAACTCTGAGTTTAAATTATTGTAAAAATGCAAGTTTTGAAAAATTGTTAAATAAAAAAATAAATTAAAGAAAATTAAAACTTTAAAACAAATTACAAAAAGAAAGAAAAGAAAGAAAAGAAAAGAAAGAATTTAAAAAAAATAATGTAAAAAAAGAAAGAAAGAAAGAAAGAAAAAGGAAAAAAATTGTAGCCAAAAAAAAGAATCAAAGAAAAGGAGTATTGGTGGTTTATTGCTGTATTTTATTGTAAATTCTAGGCATGTGAAGACCATCATAGTCATCAGGTAAGGAGCATCATTACATGCCTTCTGCTTTATCCTTTTCTGTTTTGTTTGTGTGTGCCGGGAACTGACTTCAATTTTGTATGTTTCCTTCCAGTTGTGCTCTGAGACGTTACATGAGTGTGGAAGAGAGGCTTGCAAAGACTTCCTGGCATGGAAAAGAACCAAGAAGTTGACAGACAGCTTTCATGAAAAGGGTGGTGGAAGAGAGTGGTGTTTTCTTAAGTTTATCAAATGTCTGCTTTTGATGTTGAACCTCAAGATAAAGATATTCCTGGTGCATATGGCTCGGAAGTTTTGAATGTTTATGGAAGTGGAATGGAAATAGATTTGTTTTTATTCACTGACAAATAAGCAAAAGCTAAGCAGATCTAGTTTACCATGTAGGTTGCTTAAATTTTTTCTTAATTTGCTTTTTTTTCTTGGTTAATCAGTAAACTAACCCAGCTGTTATCTTCCTTCTAGCTGCTGACCTAAGCATAGTTCATCAATGTTGGGACTAATCGAACCCTGACTTTCATCTGGGAAGAATTTTATTTGTTTTTAAAGAAGCTGTGTTTTTTTTCTCATTAATTGTTGTCACAAGTTGAAAGAATGGAGGATATGCTTGAGAGGCAAACAGATAAGACAATTTTACAATGTAAGAAGTTAATTTTTTTTTCTAAGACAATTGTTTTGTTTAGTTTTTTTTTTCAATCAGTGTTCTAACCCTGCTGTTTTCTTTCTTCCAGTTGACGACTTATACGGAGAATATTTTTTAACTTTTTTTTAATGCGGAGAGGTTGTTTTCCTGAACATTTTTATGTCTTGTTTTAAATTGTTGACGAAATTGGGAGAAAGGATAATTTTGAGAGGGAAACAGTCAAAACAATTTTACTTTGTAAGTCTTGCATATTTTTTTTTTCTTTTGTTCACTTTTGCCTTTTAATTTCTCTGTATACTAATGCACTGTTTTCTTTCTTCCAGTTGCCACCTAAGCTGAGTTGATCAATGCTGCAGCTGAGGATCCAATCCCGATTTCAATATGGGAATAACTTTATTGTTTTCGACAAGGTGATTGTTTTTTTTCTTCTTAGTTGTTGACTTAGTGGGAGAGACGAGGATGCTTTTTAAGAGGCAATCACATCAAAGTTTTTGATTCTGTAAGTTATTTTGAATTTCATCTGCTTTGTTGCTGAGATTTTCGTTCTTCTCTGTACTCATCCTTACATTTATTATCTTCAGGTGACAAAGGTTCAAATGTTACAAGAAGTTACAGTAATTGATTGATTGGGACAATGAGGCTTCTCATTTGATGAAAATGGCATACATACGCACATTATGTGTAATATGTAAGTATGCTGTGCTTTTTGTACATCTTCAAGTTTTGTGCTCCATGCTTTGTTTCTTATTTGTTCATTTTATCCCCAGGTTCGAGTATTCACCATGTCAGGTGCCATGCTGGTCATCAGAGAACAAACACTTCAATGAGCGCTGCTGAACACCTGGACGGCTTCAGAGTCAAGTGTAGTGAGAGAGAGAGTGAAGTGAGATGCAGTCATTCAAGACTGGAGTCCTGGCTGCTTCATTCTAATCTAAGAGAGCTGTGGATGCATCACGCTAAATGCTTGTTAAGCTACATGTTTGGCCCATATTTGTTGTTCTATTGTGAGTAAGACTATATCCTTGTATACTGTGTAGGAGATTTTTGGACAAGAATTTAAAGTGTCATTGCGAAAAGTGCAGTTTTGTGCTCGAGATGATAAAGTTCAATATTACGCCACTCTTCTGAACGAATAGGATTGTGAGAGTTATGCTCTGTTGTGTTTGGCAAGAGTTGCTTTCAATACTGGCTCTTGTGTAAGATTCACAATGGCTTTCACTGTATCCAATTTTGAGAGCTTTTGCTCTCATATTAATCTTTCAATTACCTTCAAAAGTAACTTGCTGCCCGAAATTTCCTTTGGATCAATCTTTACTTTGAATACCCCAAGTCAATTTTTCTTTGTGTATATATTGTTTAGGTAGGAGCGTAGGTTTGGTTGGGTGTTACTTGCTGCCTTCTTGTGATGGCCAAAAGTGCAGAATTAGGAATGGTGGGAAGTGTACCATATTCAAACAGAGTCTCAATTTGTGTTAGGGGTTTGTCACGTTTTCCCCTTGATCTGCTGATGTTCAGCAGAACGGCAGGTTAATTTTATGACCCTTTTCCACTTGATGTGAGCACATTTACATTTAGTTCATGTTCCTTCCCCTCCCATGAAACCCTTCAGAACAGTCCAGTAATACACATGTCTTGTTGCTTGGTGCCAATCTCAACAGTGCTCAAGCTTTGCCAAAGAGAAGCTTGTGAAGTGAACGTAGGTGACAGGTCCTCACTCGTCTTAAACTTGATGATAGTATCCGTGTGAAAGGGCGCCATTTCTCATGGATATTTTTGACAAATTTTTTGGAAGAACATTAAGCTGTGATGCATATGAATGAATGAAATGTATATGCTAGCCTGGTTTCAAGTATGTATGCTAACATGTGTGAGAGAAATGGTGGTGGTGGTAGTTGCGCAGCTTGGGGCCCCCTGTGTTGTTTAGATGATGGTAGTTACTGGTATTTTGTGCTTCAATGTTCTTCCAAAAATTTGTTTGAAAATGACGAGTTGGGGTAGGAGTTAGGCAGGCACTGTAAGGCCCCAGCATTTCCTTGCCCCGTAAGCAGGCAAATAGCACTGCTTCACCCCCTCCTTAGGATTATCCTGGATCCGCGCCTGGAGTTGTATTGTCCAGATTATGCAATGGCCAATTTTGCGATGATGGAAGTTTTGCCCTCATCGTTTGCCTGCAGAGTATGCGTGATGGATGGCACAGAATTGGTGTCTCCCTCAAGCCTGTATTGGTCAAGAGTCATAGAATCTCTTTACATGTGGCATATAAATGTGGTACATTCACCGCATTTGTGGCTTAGAACATATGTTTTAAGAGAACATTTTAAAGCCGATGTTTCCTGATGGCTGCGCTGTTGAGTAGAGCTGGCACGCAACTTTTGAGTTCATGATTCACTGCTTCCAAGATGCGCATTATGACTATACTGTTCATCAATATTGATCATGTTCTACCTGTCCTATGTCTCACTCACACGTTACAGAAAGTGACTGTCCCGTAGAACCACAAGATTCATTCACATTCACCCTCTTCTGCCTCTTTGCATCCCTTTTGATAAGGGAGTACAATAGCCAATTTCCTGATGTTTGACCTGCCAATGGGATGATAAGAACAAGCCGACACATGAATTTATTAATTTTGACTCTGTTTGTTTGGTGCACTCCTCACTTTTTCTGTTTTTGCGCTTTGTTGTGATATGTACTGGTGTCTTCCACCTCATCAGATGTAATGCTTGTAATGTTTTTACTTTCACTTGGCTTGAAAGAGCTGAATTTGGCTGAGTCACAGCGGGGGTAAATGCTCAGTTTTCTGATAGTTCAATTTGTATAAGAATTTCAATAGTAAATTCTGATCCAGGGGATGTTAATGGGCAGCATTCAGAAATTAAGTAATCCTTTAAAAGCTAATTAAATGAGCCTTTGTTGAAGCCTCTCTTGTATTCAATTTGATGGTTTTTGTCAAACTTCTCATGCTCTTGAAAGGCACTTCAATTTTATTTTGAATTGTCATGTGGGCAAGTCAGACAGGAATGCCTTATTGCACATTTAGCCTGTTATGTTAGTTCTTTGTTAATTATGTTGCTGCATGTGTTTTTAGTGGTACTTTTTAACTTCTTTGGTCATTTTGTCAATTGTGTTACAACAGAACGACGGCCATTGGGTAACAAAGGCCACAAACTAATATAAATATTTGTTTATGCCTGTCTGTGGCATCTTCATCCAAAGAGAATGATATGTAATCTATACTCCTTTTTTTGTGGGTGATTGACAAAATTAGAATTTTAAGTAAAGTTATTGCCTTGCAAATTATCATTCATTATTATTATTACTATTAATAATGTTATGATTTGTTAGAGTGCCTAGCACTCTTCTAGTGTAGATCATATCTATATAGGGAATGTGTTCTTTCAAAAAAGAGAAATAAAAGAGAATATCAAAAGTATTTGATATTGATGTGGAGGACTTGTTTTTTACAATTGGTTCACCAGAAACAAATGAGAGATGGGTTTGTGCGTTTTGAAATCAAGTGAAGACTAAAAGAACATAGTGAAACTACAATTTCAATAACATTTAATAAATTCTATACTTTTTTTTACACACTACTAACACGGAACTGTAAGTTAAGAGCATTAACAAGAGTTCTAAGTATTAGTGAGGATGACAGAACGTCTGAGTTTAAACTCAGAATCTAGATACTATACACATGTGATTTCAAGAAAAACACACTTATGTGGTCTTCGTAGAATAACAATGATTACATTAAAATACAAGCATCAGATCAGTCATGCATCAGAAGAACTATGTGCATCAGCTCATCACTTCTTTGTCAAAAGCACTTTGAAAGGCAAAATGTGTAAAACTATGAGAGAACGTACAACTGGAAGCACAATATAACAAAACAAAGTTAACAATCAGCCAGAAAAAGAATAAATACAAAGACAGATGAGGTTTTCCTTTGTTTAGTCACCAGTCTGTATCTTAATTTTAAGTTAAGTTTCTCTCTAAAGGTATCTTTATGAGTTAATATTTTTCTTACTTTACCAGAAATTGGCCCTTGGGAGCCGCGGGCTAAACTCTATGCGTGTACAAACGCTTGCACATTGCAAATTAGGGGTCCCTAATGCAGGGCTCCGCATGATGCAAAGAGAGGAGTTTGCACAGTATCTCCTACCAGAAACTTGCCTAGGGGTTGCGTGATAGATTTATATTGTTGAAGTGGGTTAATGATTTTTACCTCCTCTACTTTATAATGATTAGAGTAAGAAGTTAAATTATGTACGAGAGATACTTTAATTGGCAGTGCCATAGTTAATTAAAAGAATAAATATATCATGCGAACTCCCTTTCAAATTTCTTGTGTTGATTTCTTCAAGTTCCCTACCCGTTTACTAACTCAACCACAGTCATAATTAACTTTTTTTTTAAATGACGGTACTAAGATGGGATGGACTTGTTGGATGTAAAGGATAAAGAATCCCTAACAGTCTCCACGAGGGGGGAAGGATGGGCCCCGCGGGCTGCGCGTAGCGGCAGCGGCGGCGCGGGTGGCGATGCCCCCCACCCCAGGGCTCCGCAAACCCTGCCATTTGCCAGACTCCGAGGCGAGCGAGACGAGGGCGTTGTTTACGTTTTACGGCTTCTTTCAGTTTCTTTCTGAACTCAAAAGTAAACTGTAACCTTTCTTTATACAGTTGTAAATTTACATTAATATTTCAAACATGATCGTATTAAACAGAAACAGTCGTTATTTTGCCCTCATTCTTGTACTGATTGCATTTTTAAACCCTGGTGAGTGTCTATTCTGTAGCTTTTATAAATTTATTTATCAACTATTATCATAGTACTTAATATTTCCCTCATTTTCGGCGCTTTGTACTTCAAAATTCGTCCTTTGTTGATTGCAATTTATCAAATTTAATACAAGTTCTTGCAGTAAACATTTAGGTTAGAAATACCTGTTGGGGGTGTGGTTCTTATCATCCCAAGAGGTTTTGTTTTTGTTTGTGTGTGTGTGTGTGTGTTGATCAAGAGGAGAAATTTTATCTGGGTACTTGTGTTTTCTTTCTGATATAGTATGGAGTTTCAATTTCTTTTTACTCGTTCTTTACCTCACTGTACTAAAAAATGTAGAGGTGGTGAGGAGAACGAGTATTGTTTTTGGTGTGATATAAGTTAGTGATCAGGTTGATCTTTCAAAATAAATAACATTAAGACTTCTTAATAGTATGGTTAGAAAGGTCATGACTTCATTGAAAACATTTGAAAGAAGTTTTTTTTTGTTTAACACAAAATATTCAGTGAAAATTTTTAAAACTGTGTGTAATTATTTGACTGGTTTCTCTTTATTTTATTTCCTTCATTGTCAATTTGTTTTGCAGCATATCTGTTTGAGGTACTTCCAATATATTGCACACTGCCTCAGAAATAACTTGACTCTTGAATTTCAGCTAGCGCCATTCAGTGCTATCAATGTGAAAGTACGGACCATGACAACCCATTCCAGTGCAACGAATTTATGCCAGAGGATTCTGAACTGCAGCCATCTTCTTGTGATTATGTGGATAATGCCCAGTATTGCATTAAGTTGGTTGGACGTAACAGAGGTAGCCTACCATATAAACATTTGGGCAGGTGCACTGGCTGCGGACATGCTGTCTTTTGTGTTGTGGTGAAACATCTGCTACATTTTGCTTGGACACTGGCTTGCTTTTTGTCTTCACCTTTTTGTTTTGAATCACTCATTAAGCATCCTATCTTCCATCACCGAAAACAAAGATGTCCATAATTCCCTCAACAGGAAGCATCAAGAAAATTATGAAATGATATGATTTCACTTTATTCTCCCTGGTACCATTCTCCAAATTTTCAGCTTTAGTTTGGCCGATTTTGCTTTGTTACTAACCAATATCATTTGTAAATATTGCACTGTTTTGCTAATTGGTGTTTGGCACATATCTAACATTTTTCCATCGCTTCTTTGTTTTTGTGTGGGTAGTTTCGGGCTGGTTTTGGTCCAGTGATGGTATCAAGTGCTACCAGTGCTCTTCTCACAACAACTTGGATTGTGCGGACAATGCAATCCATGAGGAATCTATTGAACCACTGGATTGCAGTCACATTTACAATGCTAAGTACTGCCTTAAGACGGTGGGAGTAAACCAAGGTAATCTCCATTATCTGTGACTTGTGCATTTATGTATGCTCCTTTAGAACATGGTTTGTTTATGATAGAAAATGTAAATATTTTGCAAACCGGCATGTTTTTGTGTTATCATACCCTACATTTTGTACATAATATTTTACTGTTGCAACATTAAATGTGCAAAAAAATTGCTTGTCATTTATCATCAGTTATGAAAAGAGGAGTACTTTCCTCTTTCTGCCAGTAGTCTGATTTTGCTACTAAGTGGCCTCCAACTTTTACCTGCAAATGTATTCTAGTGATGTTCATTCCTTTTTTTATGACATTATACATTTGGCATGCTCCTTTTCTGTACTTGAATGCTTCCCTCAGTTAGCTTGTGATGCATTCTGACAATGGCTTTGCTCTTTTAACATGGCTTCCAAGGCACTTATCCAAAACTAACAAAATACTATTATCTAACATCATTCTGAAATTAGTAATGTTTTGCAAATTTGCAATGCAATATTTTTTCATACAATCTTGACTTGAAATTAAGTTTAGTTGGGTGTTACTGCGTCTCTTTCACATCTCTGTATGTTACAGGCGTCTACGGAACTTCTAGGCAGTGCTCCTCAGTTGACTTGGGGAATTACTGTGACTACATCAAGAATCAGGGAGATGTCATGGATTACCGATCATGCGTGTACACTTGCAGCTCTGATGGCTGCAATGCGGCAAATGGGCTCACCAATCCAAATGCAGCAGTTATGTTGATATCAGTTGGGGCAGCTTTATTGTCTGCTCTCTATTTATTGTAACTTTTTATTCAATAAGGTATGAAATGTACATGTGTCTGAACCAATGGATATTTTTGGAAAACATTTAAATGCTGTTTAATTGAAATCAGCAAATAATGATATTGATTTGTGCCTTAGTTTTTTCTACTGTAAAATTCAAATTTTGTTTTGCAACTGTGTCCGTCCATATTTAGATACATGTAGATGTTATTGTTTTTAATTACTCTCTTAAATGTTCAAATGCTGGAAAGCATCCATAAGTTCCATGAGTTCTTATTCCATACTTTGTTGTAATGTGGTTTCTTCACACATGTGTATGTACCTGAACAAGTAGATTTTGTTGTGTCCTTGTTGTATCTGAACATAACAAGTTACTGTCTCTACATACAAATTTTTGTACAGCCTGATCTCGTTTTTAGAGTATGTGAGACAGCATAACACTGCAGGAAAGTTCTTTTATTTGCTCTTGTTCCAGAATTTCTATTTTATCATGTTTTTTCTTTTAAAATAATTTTTTATGTAAGCTGAGAGACCAGTATAGTAGTCGTTAGGTGCATTGAGTAGACATTTAACCAACTAGCACATTGTTTTTGGTCTAGGAAAAGGACTTGTTACTTTTTACCTGCCTTGAGCCACATACATTCCATTTTGCTTGCTGGATCTTAACATATCTTCTATTCAGATTTAAGAGCAATGTGAACAATTTCTTAGTGATCTGCTAACTTTTTTAGTGGTTAGTTATATATGATATGTAATTTTTATCATTACCTCTAAGGAACTGTCCTAGTGACGTCTGAGTACTATTGTGTTACCGATTGATGAAGTCCGTCCATTATTAAGCTATTTTAAGGATTTTTTGCGTAATGAACTGACATTTTGTTCTTTCTTGTTACTGTTTTTTTTTTTTTTTTGTTGGTTGATGGTTGATTCCGATATGAAGTGAACTGTATTTTTGTTTAATTCGCACTAATTATTTCAATTTTGTGTAAGATATAAGATTTGACAAATCATACTTAAATCATTTTCTGTAACAAATTTTTGATCTGTCGTGGTATGATTTTAAATGCCACACTCAGCTGTGTTCGTTGGTCGAAGTGAAAAGGACATGTTTTCAAAATATACTTTGGAAAGGAATGGTTGTGTTTTTGTCTACCCTATACCACTGGGCGTGATAGCAGACTGCGACATAGGGGAATAGTTTGTGGCAAACGCCCACTTAAACCTCTGGCGATAAGCGAACCTATAAAGTGAATGTCGGGTCAGTTGGGAGAAATTTTCCAAGTCACGGTGGAATCAACACACGCCGTTCCGTGCGTTCGATGTTTGGCATGGGAGTCAAATCAGAAATCGTTCCTGACTCGAGTCGAGCCGTCTACTTAACTTCTTGGAAGCAGTAGACCCCTCCCCGCGCGAATAAGAGCGCCCGACCGAACACGGGTAGGCAATCCGGGGCGCACCGGAGCGCCCAGGCGGCTGGGTTGCCTATGCCGCGGTTGGCAGGCGCTCTGCGCGCGCTCTACGCCTCCGTGCCTACAGACCCTCCCTTGCCTTCGCTCGCCTTGGGAGCCTTGGCCTGACGGGAGAGGGAGGGGGGCGGGTTGCCAAAGTCATAAGCGCCTTTCCGCCTTCCCGAGGAGCGGGCGCCAGTAGTCCGATTCCGCACTCCTGTCTCTCTCGCACTCATGGGGCGTCTCGTGCATGCGCGAGCGAGAGAGAGAGAGAGACAGAGCGACGAAACGCAGTTCGGGATCAGCCTCCAGGCCAGCGCCAGAGATACGATGCTCGCGAGGGCCGCGGGGGCGACAGCAAATCCCAGGAGATTTGGAGAAAGAGGAGAGGCCGTGCCCTGCGTTGCCTTGCCCTGCCCGTGTGTTTGCAGGTGGCGTGGCTCGCGTGGCGTCTGGGGTGCGGAGAGTCGGAGAGGGGAGAGGCGACCGACTGACATACCGAGGCAAGGCACGCTCCGTCCGCGACGCGCACCCCGCCGCGCCACGGCAGCCACGGCCTGTGCGGGCAGCAGGGCAGTAACAGGCCGGGGCACTAACCTACCCCAACCCAGACGGCCGTGCGCCCCCTCCCCCGCGCCGCCCGCACCGCGCCCGCGGCCCTGCGGCAAGGGGCGGCCGGGCCTGGGCCGGGCCGTCTCGATTGCCCCAACCCCCCAATTCTAGAGGCGGCGTGGCGGGGCGTGGCGGGGTGAGGCGGGGCGCGGTGGCGGCAGGCGGGGCAGGCGGCAACGACCTCGGAGAGACGCGCCGAGCCGAACGCAGCGCGCCGCACGGCCAACGCACACGAATGTGGCGCCAAAACAGGCGGCCCAGCTAGCGCCACCGAGCGCCAGCCAGGGCCTCGGCGGGGACCGCACCCCACGTCGCCCCGTAGTCCTGTCAAAAGTTTCTGCCAAACAAAGGGAGGCGTGATGTGTCTTTTCGCCGAGTTCGCCCCGATCCGTTTTAGTTTGGCGGACGACGCCGCCAGCAGCCAATAACAAAGTCCGGGCCTGCGTGGCCTGCACCCGGAGGCCCGGAAAGAACGTGAAGTAGGGTGTAGGGTTTGTCTTGTGCAAACAAGATTATTTCCCGGACGTCCCGCCCAGCCCGGCGCGGCGCGGCGGGCCAGTCGTTGGGGCAGGTTGTAGGCCTGTCTGCGGCGACGCCACCACCGCGTCGCCAAGGTGGACGACGGCGAGGTGCACGACGGGGACGTCTGGCGCTTCCGGGGGACGTGCTGACTGCGCAGGCTGCGCCGCTATGCGCTCCAGGATGTCCCTCACGCTGCTCACGCACAGCGCGACGTGGCACCGCCCGCACAGCGGCACAGCGGCACAGCGCTAGGCCACGCCGGCCGGGGTCGCGCGGGGCGCGGGAAGTGCGGGGCCCCGCGGGGGTGCGCAGTCCGGGGGGTGGCGGCGAGGGGGTTGCGGGGGCCGGGTGAATGGCCTACAACGACCGGCCGCGCCGACGCCCCGCACCGCCCCGCACCGCCACCCCCTGCTGCTTGGCCCGGGCTTGCCCTGCCCTGCCTGCCAGCCCCTGCCAGGCTTTGCCCGCAAACAGCCTCCGGCTCCGCCGCCCGACGCGCTCGACATGGTCCGGCTGGCGGGCTGGCGGGCGGCCGGGCTGGCTCGGCTCGCAGCGCTCACAGCCTCCACGGCGTAGCGCGTAGCCATGGCCTGGCACGGCCTGGCATGGCCATGGCGTAGCGCGTAGCTTGGCACACGCACACTGCCGCACTCGGTCGCTGCCCCTTCTTCCCCTAGGCCCCAGGCTGCCGCCAGCCCGGCCTGCCCGGCCCGGCCGCCGTGGAGGGTGGCGCAGTGGAGCAGAGCCTCCTCGGGTCTGGCGGCCCGGCCAGGCCCGGCCAGGCCGGCCGGCTGGTCTGGTTTCGTCTGGTCCGGGATTTGCGCCCCGGGCTACTGGGCTGCTCGGCGGTCGTAGGCTTGGGCTGTGCTGTCCGAAAGGGGTTGACGGTACTGCTGCGTCTACTGCGTGGACCGGCCGCCGCGGAAAGCCGATACCGAGCGCCGTCTGCCGACAAGCGCGACAAGCCTGCCGATGGCCGGGCCACGGCCGGGCCGACGGCCCTCTGCTGGCCCCGGAGTGGCCGGTGTATATGGAGCTTAACTCATGTCATCAGAGTGCCTTTGTCATGGCCCCTCCCCACGCCGCGAACAGCGTCAAAAACGACGGCCAAAACGCGGAATGGATGGACGAGAGGCCGTGGTATTATTTTATCGGAGAGGGAGCGGCGAGACAAGGGATGGGGCGGGGAGGGAGGGAAGATGTCTGGGGGTGTGCGCGTGGCAGCGGCAGGGCGGGGCGGGCGGGGCGGGCAGGTCCGGCGTGAGCGACAAGCCAGGGATTACTGACCGGAATCCAGACTAATCATACCGGACCGGACCGGACCGTAGGGTCGGCGAGCGGCGCGGCCAGCGGTGGACGCTGGAGGGGAAGGGCAGCAGGAATGCGAGACACAACAAAAGAGAGGCGGGCATTAAAAAATCAAACGAAATTGAAATCTCTGGGGATGTTGCGTGGCATGGCTGCGATTTAGCGAGTTTGGACGCGCCGCGATGCCGCGACCGCCTTGTCGGCACCTTCCCGCCCGGTTTCCATTTGCGGGGCGGAGGCGGGCGGAGGGCGAAGCGGCGGCCGCAGGCTGGGCGCGGGCTGGGCAGCGCAAGGACGGGCAAAGACGAGCTGGGATTGTGTGTGCCGCTCGCCGCTCCGCACTGCTCTCGCTCGGCCCCGCAGTCCCGCATTCACGGCTGAAAGCTGAATTTCCGGCAATGGACGCGTCTCTTCATCCCCTTTTCTTTTTTCTCCTGACAACCTTTCCCATTTCCCGCCAGTAACCCCCGCCGGCCCGGGGTCGATACCCCTTTTTACCTCTCGCCCGGCCAAAAGAACTTTTTCATGTTTTTCATCAGTCTGGCAATTGACTTAACTCATTTCCAATGTGCGTGTGTGTGTGTCGGTGAAGGCGCGTGTTAGCATGTGCGAGTGTGTGTGTGCGGCGGAGAGGGGGTGTAGGGGTGCGGGGTGTTTGCCTACACTGGTGTATGTATTCGTGCGAGTTAGCGTTTGGAGCGGGTGGCGCGTTAGAGACCTGCCGGGGAGGGGAAAGGGCGAGGGGAGGCGGCAGGTCTTGGCTGTTTAGGGGTGGATTTGCTCTCTCGTGCGCTTCGTCAAACCTGACGCCGGTGCCCCGCACTGCCCCGCACTGCCCTGCCGGTGCATGGAGCCGGCCGCCTGATTTGCATGTATGGCACCCGCTTTACATTCGACGCCACCCCGTGGTACCTGCGGGTTGATTCCAAACGGCACTTCGTCGCTCTGTCTCGCTCGCACCCCCACGGCACGCCTCATAAGTGCGAGAGAGACAGAGTGCCATTTGGAGTCACCCTGCGCGGCGACTCTCGCTTGGCAAGCGCCTGACGCGTTCACACCGACAGCATGCAATAGCGTCATCACGTCAACAGCCAACTAGATTTCGCGTGAAAAAGAAAAACAACGACAAAGACCAAGTTTCCACTGCCGAAATAGAGGGCGTCTTTTCTTTTTGGCGGGCTTCTCGCAGCGTTGTGTTTCTCACGTCGTGAATCCTTTAATGAAAGGTAACGCTGTCGGCATGCGCCAGCAGCGCCATTCCGAGTGGCACGCGCTGTCTCTCTCGCACCCCTCGAGACTACTCGAGACGCCCCGCGAGTGCGAGAGGGACAGAGCGACGAGAGCTCTGTTCGGAGTCAGCCAGGACGCGAGGATATAGCGTGTGACGCGGCGCGGCGGCGTCCGAGCCGGCGGGGCCGGCGGGGCGCGGCGCAGGGCACGGCGGGGCACCGCTCTTTGTCAGCGAAGGCTATAATTTGGCGAGTACTTAGAGGGTGTACGCCGCCAAGCCCAGCCCGCTGGCACGGCCCAGGCGCGGCGCAGGTAGGGGGGTGGTGAGATGGAGCGGGTGAGCGGGGCTGATGAAAACAAGAACACAAAATAAAGCAACCGGAAAAGAAACAAACAAAAACAACAGAAAGGTCGCGTGGTGCTCTCCGATGAAACGGGCGTCTCTAGGGGCGATACTGACGCGCGTCTCTGTCACAATTTAACGTCAGAACACGCTGGGTTTGGTAATTGTCACGGCTGTCGCATCCCCACCCGATGTCCGTTGGGCCTCGCAAAGAGAAAAGCACGCAACGCAAACATTTTTGCGAATTAGCGATGTAAACATGATCTGAGACCGAGGCGTGCCTTGGAAAAGCAAGGCTGAGACTGTTCCAGCACCACCAACCCTTGAATTTGGATTCCCTCTCTACTGCGGACCACTCTTGCCCAGCACCAGCACTTCTGCAGGTCGTTTGAGCGAAATCCGAAATTGTGTTTCAAGGAGTAGCTTTAAATCTTTGCAAGTTTTAATACAGTAGTAACAATCCACAGTGAGTGCATCACTCATCGTCACAGTTGACTCTGCTTAAGTTGGCACCATTGTTGTTGCGCTGAAAACTTCATCAGTTTTTTGTTTGTGTTCAGTTCGCCCGTTTGGCCGCTTTCGATGTTTCGGGTTTCGGCGCGTGAATTTTGGGCTTTGCGTTTCTTTCTGGAAATCCAAGAATTTTACCCATCACAATATCAGTGAAGCAT